GTTGCCAAAGGACAAGAATGAAAACCAGCTTTTCTTACGGGGTGGTGCTGGCAATACAAATCCTGTTTGCACCATTCGTAATAACGAGAGCGTATACTTACATACATACACACACACATAGACATCATATATATATATATATACATATATATATATATATATATACATGTACATATATACATATTTGTATGTATGTATGTATGTATGTATGTATGTATGTATGTGTGTACATATCCATAAAATTCTGTGTGTGTATATATATATATACACATAAAGAAACATACGTGCATGCATCTAAACACGACTCCAAGGATAACATCTCATAAACATCAAGCTTACATAGTACCAAAATAGCACGGCAACCTTATACGTAGAACGGATCCTAAAATGGACCCTGCTGTACAGGACTATCCATGAAAAGAAAGGGTTAAAGTTAAAGAGTTCACGGTGAGCAGGCCTAGGCTCCTTTGCCAATCCCTGGAGCACGCGCTGCGCCCAGGGTGCAGGGCCTGCCAAGGCGTTACGGGGCTCAGGGTTTAGCACGCGTTGGTGAATCGTTTAGGATTTGCATGGGAGGTTGTTCACATTAGGGCTTCGTTTATGTTGACTTGCAACCGTGCGAGATCCGAAACGGGATTCTAATTAAAAGCTGCTTTCGACTCACAGGTTCATATTAGGGACCCCCCCCCCCCCCCAATAGTACAGGTAATTACTGAGGCCTCTTATTATCAAACTATGAGCACTAAACACCAACAGCAAATTGAGACTAGACGTCCTTCCTCTGACTCTCTGCATATCCCCGGGCCTGGCAGCCTCTCCCCTGTCGAGGATGGACGCCTTCGTGGCAATATCAACATGCAAAACGAGGCAACACGTGCCCCTTAACAGAGCCCTTATGAATCTCATAATGGTGGGTATTTGGAATATATGAGAGGGTAGTTGGACCACACAGTACTGACGAGCATTAGCTGGTTGAGGGGTCACAAAAAACGGCGGACCAGACCATGCTGAACACTATTAACTTTTTGACGGGCCAGAGCAGCACGAATGCTCTGGGCACAATAAAGGAACTTCGTAGTGGCCGCCCCTGAGCCAAGTAAAACGGAAGCAGACGGAGCGAGGGAATGGAAGCTTTTGTGCATCTGTTCTGGTGATTTCCCTTTCGGAATAAGATATTCTGCTATACTGTATCGCATTGTGTCACACGACACTATATTCTGTTACAGTATATTCGGGCAAAGCTTGAACACATCAGGCAGACGGTCTGCATCCGGTGCTGTCTTCTTCCGTGCCTTCTGTCTTCGGCTGCACCCCTTACAGAGTAGGTGCAACAAATATGTATACGAAGAGGGAGATTGACGGTAATGCCGTTACCACTCATCACACATGCATGCATGCATACATGCACATGTACATGCATGTTTAAAACCATACGTGTGATAGCTATAAGCTCTCTCGCAATGAATACCATTGAAGAACACATAGTACCCGAATTGCTTGCTTCCACTATGCCTGGTAGCCTGAGTTGTCTTATGATTGTAGCTTGTGCTGCTTCCAGCTGCCAAAGAAAGCGGTAGGTGACGCACCTGGACTCTGGCGGCGCCACCTGCGAGTGAAGCCCCGACCGATTCAACTATACTATACTGAACTTAGAACCCTAGCCAAAAACATAATCTTAGCTGTTTCTTAGGGACCACAATAACCAAAAACTTAAAAACTATTTCTAAGTACCCCTAAGTATATATTGAGTCTAGGCTTTCGCGACTGAAGGCCTGTTTAAAAGTCTTCGCGTGTAAGTTGAATCCACCAGAGCCGGTTTGGTCTGGACGACATCTGCATGAGCGAGCTAAGGCCGCAAGCAGCACAACATGCTACTTGGAGGTTCATGGTACTTAGTAACTAGGGTTATAGATAAGGTAACTATACTTTTAACAGGTTATATCCCCAGTTAAGGTACTTATAACTGTACTTACTAAGTCCCATGAACCTCCAAGTAAGACACAAACTGGAGAACGCAAAGAGGTCTCATGGTAGAGCACTCGGAGCCGAAGAGGAATCTTACCCACAAAAAGGAACTACTATGGGGCCCTAGGGTAAGGCAATGCCCGATCTCGAGCTACTGTTCAGCATCATGCCTTCCGCAACTGCACGAAAACGGCGCAAGTTCGGGTCAGGGAGAACTCGGACTCCCACACAACCAACCAAAGCATCCAATATAGGGGCCTTAGTAATCAGAACAGGTTTTGGGGTAGATCATACTATTTAGAATAAGGAACCCCCAAAATAGTATAGGTAATTACGAAAGAATTATTAAGGCCTCTATATATAGTACAGAGGAACCCTCGGGGAGCACCTCTGCATCCTCGTCGAGCACCACGGCCTGCTTTGGCAGCTCCTCCTTGCCGACATCGGAAAGGGGACTTTGCAATTCGAAGAGGGTTTTGTGGTTGCATTATTCTACCGCAACTAACTGCACTGGGACCACTATAGAGGGGTGCTATTACTAATTATTCTGACCCTAGATAATATAGGGACCAGGGAAGTGGCTGGAGAAGGCGTGGTGCTCGCCAGGGTATTGGAATGAGGAGGCAGCAGGAATATGAGCCCTCGGTTGATCTACGACATGGTACCCCAAAGGGTCTAAGCCCAAAGACACTACTACACCATCAAGGGGTATGTAGAATTGTAGTATATCTTGTCCTGGCCCCAAACTTTGCTTATATACAACTAGTTATTGAGTTATTGTACTAAGACCCTTTGCGCACCAGGCGCATGCTAACCCCATGCCGCTAACATGTAGTACGAGTAAGGACTTGGCCGGTGCACTGAGAAGGCTTTCAGATGCGGGATCGAGAATGCGGGCTCGGCTAGTTCAAGCAAGGAGTCGTGGATTGCGTGTGACATAGCAGAAGCCTGGCAGCGTGTGCACTTGCCCTTTTCGTTGTCCAGCGCTGCCTTGTTCAGACGCCATGTGTCAAAAAAGCCCCCTGGCATAGAGGAACTGGGGATGTGCCGATTCAGAACAGCAGGGTTACGGTACCGGCTTAAGCCTAGACGCTGTTCTAGAATTTTAGAGAACCTAAACCGCGGACGATTGGGAGCCGGAAGATGTTTGGGCCTTCAAGGCCCGCAAGCACCAGACGCACCAACAGCATGACACACACGATTCAGGTCGTAGAAATACCCTAACTATGAGAGGATGGACTTTTGGGTTTGGGTTTCAGGAGACCGGGTTCTAGAACATGGACTCCCTCAAATTCTTGAGGTGAAAGTGCAACAGGGAACCGGCCCTGGTGGGTCGGACCTACTTCGGGACTTCTAAGTACCATAACCCCAATTAGGGTCCCTTTTAGGGTACTTATAAGTCTGCTTGCTAACTACTTACTAAGGCCCCCGACCCCCATAAACCCTAAACCCTATACTACCCTTATAGATCCCCTTAAAGGAACCCTTAGAATCCCCTTTAAAGCTTTAAAGGAGCCCTTACTAAGTCCCCCGACCCCCCAAGTGGGGCAGTGGGCTCCTGGGTTGACTTGCAGGCTGAGTTAGGGTTGGGGGGTTTGAGCATCGCTGCAAATTGAGGCTGCCGTGCGGATTTTTGGTTAGGGGTTTACGGCTGAGGCTACCGGGATTAAGGTATATTAGGTTTAGAAGTTTAGGGTTTAGGGATTGAGGAATTTGAAAATGGGTTTAGGGATGGGCCTTCCCTTCTGCACATTCGCCCTGGCGCAGATTTACTCAGCAGTCATCCAGCTGGCAGAGACCCCTTGTTCGAGGTGTAGCCTGTCTCATGCTTGGAGTGTGGGAGCTTCAGGAATAGGGGATCCCAATGTAGTCCATAGCCAAAATCAAACGATAGGATCCTCGTCGTGAGGAGCGCATGGCCGTATGGGTTTTGATCTAGGCGGTTCGGATATCGGCATACAAGGTTCAAGAGTAATGAGGGAATGGGTCGCGTCACTTTCAGCTAAATGGATCTAGATTCTCTTCAGTTGCTTGGCCTAGACAGATGGTCAGAGAAAGCCCAATCGATACTTCTACAGCTTGAGCGCCGACACACTGCGCAGCCAGTTGGGACTCTCAACACCCTAGACCGGCTCAAGCTTGGAACGACGCGGAACTTCTACAAGTAGTTGAACTGTTGGTACCTGCCTCATGCTTTGTGAAGTAATTATGCAACGGTTAGAGCCGATGGCAGTAGGGATGGAAGTTCAATGTAGGGGCCTTTGTATTTAGAATCGGGTCATTTAGGCTTCTACACGAGGTCAGTGTCATGGCAACTGCACCCTTCCTCACCATGGAGCATTCATCATTTTCACTTCGGGCTTCAGGATTGTGAAGGTCAGCAGAGCAACAGATCAAAGATATTATGCAGGTGAAGGGCTAAGGTGGAATAAGCGTGCCACCATTAACCATCTCTCGCACTCTGTGTACAGTATGCAATAGTCTTAGCCGAATCTGTCCCAATAGTCAAACTAACCGCTGTGGCACTGGAAAGCATGGTTGATCCCTATCCTCATCCGACACCCCAAGCCACGCACAAAGCTCCAAATGGTCACTTTCACGAGCCAATAGTAACCCTGAAGTAAGCCGGTAGCAAGAGTAACACGAATTTGACGCGATGGTAACCCTTGAAAAATCCTATGGTAACCCTAAACCCAAACCCCAAAACCCTATGGTGACCCTTATAAGCCCACAAACCATAGGCCCAAAACCGTAAATCCCCTACTAGGCCCTTGGGCCTCCTAAACCCTGGCCCTAAGCCCTAGAATAACCCTACAGCAACCTTGAAGGAACCTCCGAATATCCCCCACACAAGCACTGCCCCCCCCCTTACCTTTGGTTAGTAGGGTTAGTAGGGAATGGAAGAATGGTAGTATTAGTAATAGTAGGTCAAGTTGTACCCAATTCCTCCATTCCCTAACTAACCAAAGGAAACCCCCCCCCCCCCCAGGGGCCGAAGCCTCCAGGATCGAACTGCGATGGTTTCTAGCAAAGCCTTAGAAGAAAGGCCAAGGCTTCCCGGTGATGACGGCCTGGAGCACAGGGGATTCAGGCTTTTTTTTAGGGATTTAGCGTTTAAGGTATAGGGCTTAAGGGGTTTAGGGTTTAAGGGATTTAGGGTTTAAGGGATTTAGGGTTTAAGGGATTTAGGGTTTAAGGGATTTAGGGTTTAAGGGATTTAGGGTTTAAGGGATTTAGGGTTTAAGGGATTTAGGGTTCAGGGTTTATGTCCTGGAGCACAGGGCATCTTTGGGTTTAGGACTCTATAGGGGTTGACGGTTTGGGGGGGTTGCGTTTTGTTCATTGTCATGGAGTTCGCTGCTTGGGGGGTCGGGGGACTTAGTAAGTAGTTAGTTAGTAGACTTATAAGTACCCTAAAAAACCCTAATTGGGGGTTATGGTACTTATAAGTCCCAAAAATAACCAGTTACTAAGTCCCCAGACCCTCCAAGTGCTAACACCTGCCGAGCTTGACGGGTCGGGTCCTTTAGGGTTTCGGGGTTGCCTGGACCCTAAAGGACCTGCCCTTTTAGGATTCCCTATTATGGTTTCCTTATATAAGTCCTAAAAAGGTAGGTTATTTGGGGTCAAGGTAAGGCTTGAGGTTTAGGGGTTTTGGGGTGATCCGGGAGCTGCGATGCTCTTATTTTGTAGGCCTCAGGTTGCAAGTCGGGTGCATATAGTTCTCAGATTTGAGGCCCTACCCATAGGCTCCATAGTAGTTCCTTCTGGGATTACCTTGTAGGACTGTAGGATTCTAAATACCCAAAAACCTGGGTAAACCCTGGACTGTAGATTTCAGGCGCAGTTTTCTGGACGATGCGACCTGCAAAGCTTCTGACGTCGGATCTACCGGTTACCCATGACCACCTGCGGTGTGCTGCTAAGGTGAGCCTCTTTTTCTTGAGCGTGTTTAGTTTACTCAACGGCTGCATAGTAGTTCCTTTCAGGGGTTCTTAATATGTAGAATCCCATAAGGTAATCCCTACAAGGAAATAAAATGGAGCCCATGGGTATTGATGACAAGCCCATGAACAAAACGAGTGTGTGGAGAGCAAAACTAGTTGGGCCTGCGTGGCGATGCCGCTGAAAGCGAACATGGCCAAACGACCGTTCTCAAGCTCCTTCCGAGTCCGGGAAGGGGGAGACTCTTTTTTGTCCAGGGTCCTGGGCTTGGTGGGGGGGAAACTACTCCTCCTCCTTGCTGCAGCTGCTGCTGCTGCCCCTCCTCTTCCTCCTACTACTGCTACAACTACTACGACTACAACTACAACAACTACAACCTACTACTCCTCCTCCTCCTCCTACTACTACTACTACTACTAATACTACTACTACTACTACTACTACTACTACTACTACTACTACTACTACTACTACTACTACTACTACTACTACTACTACTACTACTACTACTACTATCTACTACCACTACTACTATTTACTACTACTACTACTACTACTACTACTGCTACTACTACTACTGCTACTACTACTACTACTACTACTACTACTACTACTACTACTACTACTACTACTACTACTACTACTACTACTACTACTACTACTACTACTACTACTAGTAATACTACTACTACTACTACTACTACTACTACTACTACTACTACTACTACTACTACTACTACTACTACTACTACTACTACTACGACTACGACTACGACTACGACTACGACTACGACTACGACGACGACTACTACTACTACTACTACTACTGCCACCGAAACCACTACCACGACGACTATGACTATTACAACTGCTCTTGCCACTACTGTTATTCCTGGCTCCGGCTCCTTCTTCTGCCGCTGCTGCTCCCCCTCCTCCGCCTATACATACATATATATATATATATATACATATATATATATATATATATACATATATGTACTATATTTATGTATATATGCATCATTTACCCATTATTTACTAAGGGTCTTAGATGAATGGACTTGTTGCTGTGAAATATTTCTCAAATGAATCATCCTCTCCCCCCTTATGCTGCTGCCGGGTCTGCTGCTGCTGCTGGGATCCCTAGGTTAGCTGCCGTTACCAGATCACTCGTAGTGTTACTCCCCCATTCCGTTGCAACAACTACTCATAGTTTCCCAAATCTCCTTCCAAACGAAACCGGTTTCGACAACTGCGCTTCCCTAACCATAGGCCCCATAGTAGTTCCTTTTTGGGATTGCCTTATAGGGTTCTACATATGAACCACAAAAAAGAACTACTATGGGGCCTTAGGGTAGCCGTGGGCTTCCTCAGTCGCCCTAGTCCGTGTTTCATTGTGGCCGAAAGCCTCCCTGGATGCGCGGGGGTCCTTCAGCTTCATGTCCTTGGCCTTCTCGGGCTCCTGATTTACGCAGGGGGTCTGAAGTTCAAGTTCAGGCTGCTGAGAAGGTATGGCGTGTAATATAGAGGGCTTAATAAGTAGAGCAGGGTTTGGGGGACCCACTATACAATTGTACTATAATTATAGTAAGGAACCCCACAATAGTGTTGGTAATTATTTCGGCTCCTACAGTAGAGTTCAGGAGATGGAGACATTGATGATGATCCCTTGAATCCCTTGCCCTCAAACTTTACGAATTCGTCGACCACTATACAGCCTGAACACATGTTACCTGTGTGCCCGCTACACCCCACGAAAAACATGTCGTGTCCAAGAGCCTGGACCCAGCCATCTCGCAGCCTTGCAGCCCGGCGGCCCTAAAATGCTGCAATCTGTAAGCTGTACTTCCCAACTGAGAAAGTTAGAGTTAGACCAGGCAGAGCGAATGACCCTAAACGCACAAATCCTAGCCTTAAACACCTGTTGGTGCCGAACCCCTAAACCGATGAACCCTAAAGCCCTACTAGTACAAGCCCCAGAACCCACGACCAAGCCCCACAAAACCCAACCTTAAACCCTGAACCCTAAACCCTAAACCCTATACAAAACCCAACCTTAAACCCTGAACCCTCAACCCTAAACCCTATACAAAACCCAACCTTAAACCCTGAAACCCCCAAGCCAAACCCCCCACAATTGACCCGAAGGCCGCTCCTTGGGCAGGAACTGCTTGCCGAGCCAATAGTCGCCCGCCTCCCTGTTGATGCCCTGTTGTAGGGATCGGGGGTTAGGGTTCAGGGTCTAGGGTGTACGGATGTTTAAGGATTAGGGTTTAGGGTTTAGGGTTCAGGGTCTAGGGGTTAGGGATGTTTAGGGATTAGGGTCTAGGGTTTAGGGTTTTGGGTTTAGGGGTTCAGGTTGCGGGGTTTAGGGATGTTTAGGGATTCGGGTCTAGGGATTAGGGTTTTGGGTTTAGGGGTTAGTTTTTGGGGATTAGGGCTAGGAGGTTGGGAAATTCGGGGGCTAGGATCTGTACGGGTTCAGGTTGAGCGGTGTAGGATGGCTTCGGAGTCGTCAACTCTACACCTCCTGCCCCAAAGCCTTATACAACCTAAACTCCGAAAACATAAACCCCGTACTCTCCCGAAGGCTCGATCCCTTGGAACCCCGACAACCGAAGACCAAGACAGCAACAGGCTGAGCACCCAGCAACCATACCGGGGCCTCTCGTAGTCAGACTAGGGTACCGAGGGCATACGAAACTATGAGTCTATTAGGGGCTAATTTGTGGGATATTACTACTCATGATTAGGTTGGAGACACTCATAGTGCACAGAAATGATTGAAGGTCTGTACACGGGGGTCTTGATAATTAGAATGGGGATTTGGGGCCCGCTATGCTGTTCATATAGCAAGGACCCCACCAAAAAAAAGTATAGCTAATTTTTGCGGCCCCTACTCCTACAGTCTCAGGTCCTTTTATTTGAACCCCTGAACCGGTGAAGTTGCCTCGCCAATAGGCCACGACTGGAAGAAGAGCCACAAGGCCTCGCTGTCGCGGAGCCGCTTAGGTCTTGGGGTTTAGGGTTAGGTCTTATGTTGCACTTTTTGTTGAGGCTCTGTAGGCGGGGTTGAGTATGGATTGTGCGACGAGTGGCTGAGATGCAATCTGGGGTTAGCGCTCGGGGTGCTTTTTGGTTCACAGGGTTGAGCTCATGAGTTTCAACCAAAAAGCGGACATGGCTCAACAAACTGTGCATTTCAACTCGCAAGGCAACGTTTGAAATCATGAGACCAGAAACTCCTAGGCCAGAAATCACCTGCAACATGGCATATTACCCCCTTTTCCTTGCAGTGCGGAAAGCGAAGAAGTCGACACTAGAGTTTTGGCAAACGGGTGTTGGATTGTAGGTCGACGGGTTTGGGGTTTCTTGCTTTAAAAGGGGTTGACATGGGCTGACCTAATATAAGGGCCTTAATAATTACCTATACAATTTTTTGGGTTCCTTACTATAATTGTAGTATCATGGGGCCCCAAAAACCCTGATCGAGTTATTAAGGCCAATATATTAGGCTGCTCATACTCGCAAACCATAACCCGAGTACTGCTTCCTCTGGAGAAGGCGAAGACTGGCTGCGCAGGCACTCGCTTTACCCATAGGCCCCAGAGTAGTTCCGTTTTGGGATTACCTTGTAGGATTCTAAACATGAACCACGGAAAGGAACTACTATGGGGCCTTAGGGTAGGGCTTAGGGTTTGCGGGCGCAGAAACCCAGATCATCCTAGATCCTTAAACGTGCAGGCCGGGTGAACAATTGCAGTGGAAAGTTGCTAGTACGACCTTTGAGCCGCCGTCTATTCGCAACTTGAGCCATTGCTGCTTTGCATACGGAGGGTTGCCATGCACCATCCTCACAATCCTGAGCCCCCAAAATCCCTAAACTTTGATCCTGGCAGTGTGTGCAAGACGCGGCACAGGAGGTCCCTCTTAGTTGCAGCCACGGCGGCGAAGAGCTCAAAGATACCGATGGCCCCGAAGAAGGGGAGCCTCAACACATCGTGGGGAGCAGAGTTTGTGGAAGTGTCCGCTGTGATGTGTCCATGCAGGCTGCCTCCACGGGAAAGAAGGAACACATTTTGTGTAGCAGGGATTTGGAAAGGGGGTTGCAGGGTGTCGGGTCGCAGGGTGCGAGATGCAGGTAGTCAGCTGTTGATGGAAAGAAGTCAGGGAGCATGTTGCTGAACCATCAACCCCAAGATGTTTAGACTTGAAATTTCTATGGGGGATTATCATATCCCCCAAAATAGACCCCATACGTGTAAAGTGTACTCACTCAGTGACGTGTACTAAGGTTTGCGAGTACTCCGATAATGGGATGCGCTCACATAATTAGTCTCTTCTTGCGGGGGATATCTGAGTCCTGACGGAGACCCAGGGTTCAAAGTTATGAGGCTAATTCGCGATGACTCCTCGTCGCCTACCGGGTCAAGAACGACGAGGCAGTCTAATCAACCTCGAGGATGTGTGGGAAACCAAGTAGCATGTAGCCGGCTTCAACCATCTTGTCGTGAGCCTGTTCAGCTTCAGACTTCGTTGTCTGGGTCTCCTTGTATACTCCGGAGGTCGGGCTGCGTTCTTGACTAGTGTTGTTAAATGTCTTGTCTGGACGGACTGTCGCTGTGTAGCGTTTCGGGACTGGCTACATGCTATGACAACCATATGCCTACAGCGATAGATGTCTGAATTAGGAGACGGTGTCAGACGTAATGTCGACATATAGAACTGGCATCACTAGAACCTAAAGGCAAGGGACCCAAGCCCGACCTGTAATCAACAACTTGAAGACTGGAGTGAAGCTGTGCAAGGCTGCCAACACTTACATCAGGCTTCAACTTGGCTTGCAGAGCAGGGGCATCTTGAAACCTAATTATATAATACAGCTACTTAATATAGGGGCCTTAACCATTAGAATAGTTTTTTTTTTTTGGAGGGGGGGTGCTTTATACAATAATGTAATGGTATAGGAAACTATTTGGGCCCCTATAGTATAAGGAGGGCTTAGGGCTCAGAATTTAGCCTGGGAAGGCTTAGAGTGTAGACTTAGAGCTACTCGCTTACGAGGCCTGTGTCTTCTTGCAAGGCTTCTGGGACTGGTGGTTGTAACTACACCGAATCCCCTAACCAAAGCCCTAAAACAGGGGCTTTAATGATTAGAATGGGGTTTTGGGGTATGTTGTACCACAATTTGAATAAGGAGCCCCCTCAACGCCAAAGCCCTAAAGCCTTATGCCCGAAACCGCCCCGCCCTCAGGCCTCAACGGAGTTCGCCACGGCCTGGAACTTCTCGCCCGGGAAGCGGAAGCCAAGGTCAGTGGCAATCCAGCCTGCCATGCGGTTTAGAGCGTTTAGGCATCTGCAGACGCTATAGTATGTTCAAGGTCTTCGGGTTTAGGTTACTGGCTTTGGGTTCATGATAAGACGATGGTGTAGGTTTCCGGGTTTCAGGGTTTACCGTGGATCCGAAAATCCTCGACCCTCACTGCTTCTGGCTGATGTTCATGTTACTTCTCCGACCATGCGGAAAACGTCGTCATCCCCGACCCACCGTCCTTCCCAACACGATTTAGGACCAAAGGCACAGAAGTTCAATATCCGGAAATATCCGGTCATGAGGCGCAGAAAGCCTGAAGGGCCTGACCCAAAAAGCCTGAAGGACCTAACCCAAGCAGTCTCCGAATCAGTTCACGGACATATCTATATATCAGATAAGCCGAAGCTTTCCTAAATCCCGAAGGTAGGGATCCGGTCGGAAACTCCCCGCCTACAGTGGCCAGCATGGCGATTCTGCCGTGCTTCAGCTCCGCCTCACACGAGGTTTTGTGCATTTCCAAGTATCGGATACATGTCGTGATGGCCGTATGAAACCTTCATGAATACCGGTGTTACTATACTGATTATTTGCACTACATACTTGTTTGAAGGCTTTCGGACGGACACCCCCTGAGTATGGCCATGGTAAAGAGAGCTGTCGTGTTTCGGTGGTGGGACGCACCCTCCTCGTAAGGGTATAGTCGCTGTGCCCAAGTTCACATGTCAGTGACCAAGGTACGGTTGTCTGGATTAAGGCATCGGATAGACCATCTTGTCTAAAGTCTGACTGTGGTGTTGACTGTACATTTTCCATCGTGCGCCAAGCTTAGTCTTGTCCAAGTCGCACGTCGCGACTTTGCCATGTCGCTTACCGGGCTCCCTGCTGCTTTCGGATCAGTCGTGGTGCATCAGGCATGCAGATACAGTCCTTGATGTTCTGATGATAACGATTGCGATCGCACAAGTGGTAATGGCCAGATGTGTTGCAGGCATACGAGGGCATCCCCCAGAGCTACAAGAGCCTTTACCTGACTTTCTTCTAGATTCAGGTAAGCCGTGAGTCGAAAACTTGCAGATGCGGATCTCCACAACCGGTCTTATGTGAAATGCAGCACTGCACTGAAACGCCGTGGTGACATACGTACAAAGGTACATCCCTACATACATACATACATGCATACATACATAGATAAATAGCTACATAGATACATGGATTACACAGATACATAGATACAGTAAAAAAAAATTACATACATACATGACAAGACACGGGCCTCACGGACCCAGTAGACCGGCAGAGCATCAGTGACACCCAGCGGGTCGAAGCCCTTCTCCTCGCCAACCCAGCCCTTCAGGACCTGACCAGCCGAGTTGAGACTCCGTGGGTATGATATGGGGGCCTTAATAATTGCCTATAGGGTTCCTTTAAAGGGGTCTATGAGGGTTACTATAGATCTATAGTAGGGTTCTATAATATGGGGGCCTTAATAGAATAGGGTTCCTTTAAAGGGCCTATGAAGCCTATTATGATCCATAAGGGATCTATGAGGGAGACTCCATTGGGCGTAATATGGGGGCCTTAATTACCTACACGATTAGAATAGGATTCCTTTGCAGAGGTCTATGAATCTGAAGGCTACTCAAAACGGTATGTTCTGAGGATTTAGTATAGGGGCCTTAAGATTTACCTGTAATTACTTTTTTTGGGGGGGGCCCTTATTTATAGTATACTATGCCCCAAAACGCCATTTCAACTTCAATTATTATTGGGAGCCTTTGTGTTTACGGCCCATTGCCCATAAACCAGGGCATCCACAAGTTGCAGGATGCAGGGTTATTGGCTTCTGGCTTGCCCAGAGAACCCAATACCCCTCAATTAAGGAATATACCTGAAATAATCGGGGACTTAATATTTTGATTTAAGGAATATGCCTTAATTAAGGGTTATTGGCTTCTGGCTTGGGGCACAAGGTGCAGCGGGGCTGTGTAGGGCGAAGTAGGTCTTCAAGGCCTTAGCAGCTATTCGGGACTTGAGGCTTCTAGGATATTCTTGGGCTTCAGGGCCATACCGTCGGGCTCTAGGTACTAGTACACAAGATATGCCGATCCGGATGTTAGAGTGCAGGGTACAGGGGGGTTGCAGGACTCCTGGAGTGCTGGGCTTCGCAATTTGGCATGCCCTGAACCGCAAGCTTCAATACTTGGTTGGGAAGGAGCTTCTTTCAATCGCTGCCTGGAAATCAACCCCGAGTAATATAGGGGCCTTAAAAATTAGAATAGGGTTTTGGGGCCCAATATACTATACTTATAATAAGGAACACCCAAAATAGTATCCAAGCTGGAGTGCTTGAGAAAGACTCCGCACAAACGCAATTGCCTCAGTGCCTCGATAGCTCTGATTACGGCTTGCCTGTGCAAGCCCCTGGGTATGATCCGAGGATAATACTCTATACTGAACCCCAACGCCACAAACCCCTAAAGCCGTAAACCCTAAACCGTTTGTCTGTACTATGCGGAGTGTCAGTGTGTGGCATCGCTCAGGGGCTTAACAGCTCATCTGGCCTGGGGGTATCGCAGGAACGGCACAGACGGAGACATCTCCATCTCCTGTGGGTGTTAGGATTTGGGCCGTAGATGGACTTATAGGGCTTATGGATTCTGGAAGCAAGCAGAAAATGGGAGTATGCCAAGGACGGCTTCGTTTTCAAACAACCCCAGAGAACTCAATACCCCCTTAATTAAGCAATATACCTTAAATCATAATAGTAAGGCCTCTATAGTTTAAGGTATATTCCTTAATAAGGGGATTGGGTTCTCTGGGACCACTGTGTGGCGAAGTCGCGCAGGCTACACTGGGACTGCTACGACCAGGCCGTGAAGCCAGAACCCCTCTCTCACTGTGGGACTCCTTCCCGAACAGATCCCCGCTGGATTCTCAAACACAACAGAGATGAACGGTTGCACATTGTAATGTTTTTACATCGATGTACATTGTCATGTTTTTTCAGAGATGAACTGTTGCATGCCTTGGGATAGGTCTCCAGCTCCACGTAGTCGCCTCGGAGGCTTGCAGCGGCTTGGCGAAAGCTTGCAAAGCACAGCCTGAACCTTCCATCTCCCTCTGCATGTTTCAAAGGTACCAATACGGTTGATGATATAAATCCTGCATTACCTTAAGGACCCTAAACTATGGAAATTATGGCATATGCCTTATTATGGGTAATGCAGGATTTATATCATCCACCGTAGTCTCCATTGTAGTTCCTTGTTTTGGTTAACCAAAATCTCTATTATAGGGTCCTAAGTCCTAACCATAAAATTGGATAACCAAAAAAAGGAACTGAAATGGAGACTATAGGTAATGTAGGAACCTGATTAAGAAACCTTGGGCCATTTGGGCCCTTACTCGGGTTCCTTATATGAATCCTACTAGAACGTACAGTGGTTACTCTACCCTTTTTGGGGGGGGGCTCATAGTTACAATCCTATCAGGTAATCCCCAAAAAGGAACTACTTTGGGGCCTATGGTAGGTTGGTAGTGTGGTAGTCTCGTTGAAACCTGAGTAGTGGCCGGCTAGTTTCCCTCAACAAAGACACATGGGAATTTCCGAAAAAAGGGGACCCTAATGATCCATAAGGTACCCCTAATTTTCGGAAACTACCACATCGCAAGCCTGGGACCTCCTTGGCCCTCGGAAGGCTGCGCCGGATCGGGCCGGGAATTGTTCATGTCAGGTGGCCCTCTGCGAGCTTCTGCATGGCCCGCATCACCTCAGCCGGAGACCACTGAAGCAGAGGGAGCGTTTTGTAGTGGGCAGGGGTTTGGAAGGGTTGTAAGTCTAACCAGCTTGTGAATAATGCAATGCCAAGCTCCTACTATTAGACTATGAGGCCGCCAATGCGCCCTCATCGAGCCCTTGTGGTGTTGGGTACTCGGGCTCGTCGATAATGCCATCTCACCCCGATCCTACACGTCCTAAATAGCAAAACGCCCAAACTAATCTAAATCCTGCATCCGAAACCCTAAACCAGAAATGTCCACATCGTCAAGACTCTCAGACCCTAAACCTGGCAAAACCCTACTCGAACCCCCAACCCTTACAAAACCCGGAGGATAACCCCCAAAGGAGCCCAAACTCGGCGAAGATCCGCCAGGTCGCCGTTCGCCCGCCTCGGGGGCGCTGCGCGCAGAGGCCGCCGTTGTTGACGTAGGATCCCGCGAAAGACCTGGCTTAGAGTCTACCTGGACCCCATAACTATGTAGAATAATAGCCTTTTTATAGGTTTTGGGCCATTATTTTTGCCTACTTCTGGGGCTCTAGGTAGGACTTAGGGTTTAGGGGATTTAGGGGCCTGGGGTTGCCATATTACGGCTTGGTTTGATGATTGGTTTAATGTCTAAGGTGTCGGGCTGAGGCTGCTAGTAAAGGTTACTCTAACCTTCTACCAGAAGGGCTACTAGTCTTAGAAGGGTTTAGGGCCTAGAGTTTTCATTTTGCGGGCTCCGTGAATAGATACCATCAGGCGTCTACAATCGGGGTGGTTTGGGGTTTGGGGTGCAAGGTTCAGGATTTAGATCCTAACCTTACTCAGGCCAGCACAGAAATTTGGGCTGCTTGCGGGGAACAATCATGCAGTCAAGGTCCTAAGCATCAAGATTGGGACTTGAAAGCTGGGTCCTGTATGAGGACCCCCAAGGGCCATAAGGTGCTTTGACCAGTCGACACACAGGTCAGGTCGTCTGAAGTTGTGCCGATTCGCAGATGGCTGCCCTTTAACGGAGCCCTAAACTCATCCCGAAGCTTTACACAAGACCACAACCGAAAAACAAATCCCCGAGATGAGGATCCCTTGTACAGGATCCTAAGATAGCTCATAAGCACCACTGTAGCCCCTGACAACCAAACTCCCTCCCATAAGGATTATGGTAGGAACTGCCACAAGAACTCTTCCAAAACCCTTAACCACACCCCAATCCTGAACCTTCACCCCTTACTTGGAGGGTCGGAGGACTTAGTAACTGCTTATTTTAGGGACTTATAAGTACCATAACCCCAATTAGGGTCCCTTTTAAGGTACTTGTAAGTCTACTTACTAAGTCCCCCGACCCCCCAAAGCTTCAGTCTCGGAGCTTGGTGCGTACCTTTAGCAAGAAAGAGCTGTAGCCCTGAATCTTTAGTCAAACTTCGAAGCGGCTACCCAGAGACTCCAATACCCCTTAATTAAGGAATATACCTTAAATCATATTAGGGACCCTACTATAATTTAAGGTATATTCCTTAATTAAGGGGTATTGGAGTCTCTGGGTAGACCCCATAAGCCCACAACCCCTACATGCCGGAAGCCCGGATACCCTATAGACGGGTCGGTGTAAGTTTGTCCGGTGCGCTGGCAGTTGGCGATGTGCTGCACGATGAACTGCACGGGCTCGCCCCAGAAGCCGTTCCTGCTCTAGATGTCTTTCGGCTTTGATCAGGGAGGCTTTGGTACCATGGAGGTTCCGATAACCAGTAAGGATGTCGCCTCATAGTACGTGCACATATATGTATACACACACACACACACATATATATATATATAGACATGTAGATACATACATAGACAGCTACGTATTCTACAATAACGGCAGGAACCCTTCAACTTTGCAAAACCTGTCACGTCCCTTGACTGGCAGGGACCGACTGAATAGTCCGGGCCCGCGCATTCCGAACATCGAAATGCTTGAGGAACCGGGTTTAGGGTTTAACCTTCCGAGGTTGCCCGAGATCCAGCATTTGTGACGTTATAGTGGATTTTTTGGCTGTTCAGAGTCCAGACTTTCTCCCTAAACCCTTAGCCGAAGAGCATTGAGGGCCCGAGGTTCAAACAGGGCTTAGATTCAGGCGTGCTGCCTCAGCCAGGACAACCGGGGCCTCTGGTCTGCATTTTGCGCTTCCAGAAGCCATGATGATGAGGGCTGATGGGCTCGGGTTTCATGCAATGGCAATACCATTACAATCGTTGTTGTTGCGCCTCGCCAGTTTTTGTAGGGCCAGCTTCCTTGGCCTAAGAATTTCGCATCTGAAGCCTTGGAGCTTGGAATCCGCACCTTGCGTTGAGCCCGAATGAGGCTTCTCAAAAGATCACTTAAACCAAACAACCCCAAATCCCCCAACATAGGGGGCCTTAATAATAGTTAGGATAGGGTTTTGGGGGCCCACTATAATATAACTATAATAAGGAACCCCCGAAACAGTATAGGTAATTATTACGGGTCCTACAGGCCCCATAGGCCCCTGCAGGCCCTATAGCAACTCAGCCAGGAGTCTTGTTCATGTAGGTCAGCGGCGGCTCACCAAAGGTGCCGTCCTTCGAAATGAGGCATGCGCTTGAAGTTGGAAAGACGCCCCTCTGCATGTTGTTCCCAGCCCGGTTCGTGCATGAGCCCATACTAATCTACTAAAAACTGAAACTCCTACTAGTACAAACACCAGTCCTAATGACAATCAAACCAGTACCAGTACGTACTAGTATCAATACCAACAGCCATGCCAACTAGCCATGCCAGTACTCATACGAAAACTACTACTAACTCGCAATAAATCATGGATAGGAAGTCGAGGAAATACAGTTCGAACGCCTTTCGCAGTCCTGCCACATCAATCCGAGGATGGCAATCATGGCCAACCTTCCTTCACAAGGCACTGCTCTGCTTGCGGATTTTGGGATGTAGGCTCCTGGAATAAAGGGTTTAGGGTTTAGGACTTTTAGGGTGTACCCATCGGTCCCAAAGTAGTTCCTTTTTGGGATTACCTTGTATAATTCTATATATGAGCCATAAAGAGGAACTTCTATCGGGCCTCTAGGTAGGTTTAGGCCTTAAGGGTTTAGGGTTTAGGGCTTTTAGGCTCCTGGGTTTTGGGGATTCCACGGGGCTCTGAGACGCATCGATTGGCGAGACAGGTGCTCCCTTGGAAAGCAACATACCCAGAGGCTCCATAGTAGTTCCTTTCATACTTAGAATCCTACAAGGTAATCCCAAAAACGAACTACTATGGAGTTTATGGGTAACTTGTCATTCGAGTGAGGCAAGTGCGTCGTCAACCGCCGCAATACCATCAACATATACGACGAAAGCGTAGCCAATCAACGAAACCCCCCAGGCCTTTCCAGGTGTCCAACACGGAACTTCTTTCGGCTTCCCCTAAACCCTAAACCCTAGATGCTTCATTACCGACCCGTGCATGTCGAACGGTTGTGGCTTTGATTTCAGACGTCATGTCAGCTTGTACAATCTGGTTGGGTCTGCTGTCTGTGTTATGTACCTCTACAAGCTCTGTGGCTGCTTCCTGCACCAATTGCACATGGCTCAGGCCATCTCAAGAAACTTCCGGTAAACACAAGTAGGCCTAACTACCGCCAGAGACCCTCAGCCCGTCAACACGTAGCCCCTAGACTCCCAAGCCCTAAACCTCAAAACTCTGCGCCCCCTCAACCCCCAAAACCGGAAAGCCCGAAATTCGAGGCGTAAGTTTCTCGACCTATCTTCGGCCAGGATGCCGTTGTTGCGCTCGGAGGTCTGCTTTCGCTCGAGCTCCTGGCACCGGAAGCCGCAACGTTTAGTTCTTAGGCTCGGCTAACGTAGGGTTCCCCATAGGCCCCAAAGTAGTTCCTTTTTGGGTTTACCGTATAGGATTCTAAATATGAACCCCCAAAAGGAACTACTTTGGGGCCTCTGGGTAGGGTTAAGAGTCAGAGCCTAGGCAGGGTTGATACACGCCTGTTAAAGACAAGTGGGCTTAAGGCTCAGTACGGATTCCTGAAGGGTTTATATGCGCTGTGTATAGGGCTTAAGTGGCCTCAGGTTCTCAACTGCAGATATAAGGTCTATATGCTGCGCAACGACGGGCGAGGAGGAGTTTAGAGGCCGCAAACCCGACGTGCACCAACCACTAAGCCAGAAACGAGAAACGCAAAGCTTCGCAAAGAAAGGAACACTCCAAAGTCTACTACAGCAATCGCCGCTCAAGGGGCTTAGGCTATTAGGGCAATGATACATATATAAATATATGTATATATACACATTCATACACGGTCGGTTCGACGTTCAAGCAAGACAGTGAAACAATCCTACTAGTGGTGGCATTGATCTTTGGGAGGTCAGCAATATCGAGAATGCTTTCAACCAGAAACAACAGTCATGGGAATACTAACAACAAAAACCAGCGCGGGGAAAACACATCTGTTAGCATTAATGGCATAATTACTGACATTTTTAGTCTTACTATAATGATTATATTATCAAAATTCTTAGAAATATGATTAGGATCAAACTGTCAACGTTCTTAGTCTTTATTCTTACCCCCCGAACTCCCTACACCCAAAACCCACCCTGAACTGCCGAAATCCGCACACCCGACATCATACACGACAGTCTTCCCCTGAACTCTAACTACCCAAGACCCTGCACAGCAAAGGCCGAAGCGCCTCATCTGTTCGTATTACAAGCATGATCACTAATACTCTTATTCTTGTCATTGGGATTTTAAAATATCCTCAGTCTTATCATGATTTTTGTTATTATCATTATTATTGTGATTGTTATGATTGTGGTTAGAAGATCCAGGCCTCCTCATCGATTCCGTCCAGGAGCTCAGTGCCAAGGCCGAAGTCGTAGAGACCTGCGGCCGAGATCCGATGAAGGACCCTTAAAATACGTTTAACGAGGAGTTTTGGGGTATATTGTGTAATATGATATAACATTAATAACCATAATAAGGAGCCTTGTAATACTTAACAAGGATCTTTGGGGTATATTGTGCAATATAATATAACATTAATAACCATAATAAGGAGCCTTATAATACTTAACAAGGATAATTGGGGTATATTGTAATAGAATATAACCAGAAAAAGAACCAGAAAAGGAGCCTAGTTTCCCAGAGGGTCCGTACTTACTACCGACATGGATTGAAGCCCCCAAAATCATGATAAGCATGGCCTTTCGGGGCCTAATTTCCCGCAGTGATAGTATACAGTATACGTGGACCCTGTGCTTTTTATTCATTAGTCTTACCGACAGTAACAATCATTCTAGAACAGAACATGCTGTAAGTCCCATAGTTTGGGGCACTTCAGGTAGTGCAGGAGTTTGTCCGTCATCAGCCGGACGCCATCGATGGTTAGTTCTTGGGGGTTCGAGCTTTCTGGAACCTCGTGGGCAGTCGCACTTACTGGTGCATGTTCAAGATAAGTCAATCATATGACCGTGATTGACACTGCATTTGATCTTTCTCCTACTGTCACGGCTACGCGGGAGTCAAAAAATAAGGTCCTCTTTGAGGTTAGGTATTTGTAAGCAAAGAACCCAGGACTCATTATTTAGGGCAGCCTCTTCGTTCTGAATTACGCCTGATGTTGTGTCTCGCTCGTAGCGGTGTTCATTCCCGGACTAACTCCGGGCCACGGTCTGGGACCGAGGTTTGCACCTTGCTGCTTCCTTGGGGGAGGATCTTAACTACAGCTGCTTCGAAACCCTAAACCTGCAGTCCCCTGCCAACCAATGAATCGAGTGACCCCTAGAATCACGAGTAACCAAGCAGCCCCGAAACCCTTGAACTTGAACCCCCAACCCTAAACTTTAATTAAGCCCTATAAACCCTAAACCCTAAGCCCTACTATTAAGCCTAAACCCTAAACCCTAAACCCTAATCCATAAACTGTATACAACCAAGCCCTAAACCGAAGCCTCAAAGTCAGTCTTTTCAGGCAGGAGGCCCATGCCACCCTCGCGCGGCTTCACGAGCACTTCATGGGCACCAACCCTCGGAATGCTGGAGTTCGGTGGGCGTAGTGACGGGTAGTGTAGGGTAGGGTAGGGTTTAGGGTTTAGGGTTTGGGGTTTGGGGTTTGGGGTTTAGGGTAGGGCTGGGTAGCGTAGGGTAGGGTTCAAGAGTAGCAGCAAACATGAGGATCCCAAGGGACTCACCAACGGAAAAAAAAGCTCGGAGAGTAGTGCTAGGTATTCATGTCAAGCGTAGTTAGCCTTGCCATGCACTGATGTACATTAGATCCCGGAGTTGGTGGCGTGGTCGACGGCGTGTACACGGACATGACCGCGGCTGCAAATGACTGTGAGCGGCAACAAGAGCGACAAAACCGGCGGTCATCATGACAACAAAGACAAAGCCGATCACCACAATGAACGTAGGGTCAGTAATAAAATGTAATAAACAGGGTAAGTGGTAGCACCAAAGCCGCTTACATGGAAGCATGCGCGGAGGCTGGTACTGCGGAACTACAGGCTTTAACATGTTTATCTGTAGTGGCTTTAGGATCTGGGGTTTAGGGCCGGGTCTTTTTACATATCGCAATATCCGGAGACGGCAAGGTTCGGAGAATCAGAAAGCTGACAACGGCATACAAACACAAATACTGGCAGATTCATCGCCGGACAAGACATGCAGCCATGCCTTAGACTCTATTTCGCACAACATTCCATCTATGAACCTATGAGGGACTTGCACAGCACCCAAAAGCTAAACTGAAACCAACGACACAAAATCACAAGCCCGAGACCAAACTGAATGTGCGAACGTCTGCAAGCCGTTCGCTGGCTTTGATATCAACTCAAAAGGACCCTCGAGGGAGGTCAGGGGAAGGGGATCCTATTACCCCTTAAGTAGAAGAACCTGGTAAAGGTCTAGTCACGCCAATTTAAGGAAGTACAGTCGCCTACACCCGTACACCTCCGTAGGGCTAGGATAAACGGAAGCCCGGCCACAGCGCGAAGAGCTGCACCCAGCCCTCAACGGGGATGCTCTCCAGCGCACCAAGTCCGTGCTTGAATTCCTGCTGAGGGTTTCAGGGTTCAGAGTTTATAGGGTTTACGGTTTAGGGGGTCCGAGAAGTTCTGTCAGGTTTAAGCGTTTAGTGATGCAGGAATTGGAGGCTTAGGGTGTATGCATGGGTTCTGCGGTCGTTTTCGGAGAGGGAGGTGGAGTCCATGAGCTGCAATCCCGGCAGGACACGGTGTCAGTTCCGGGCCCTAAACCCTGAACAAACCCTTAAACCCTAAACCAAACTTTCAAGCAAAAGTACCAACAAGCCTGCAACTAGGTAGATTCAACCATGTAGTTCTCTAATAGTTTGAGAAGGACGGGCTTGCAACTGGCTCTAGACCTGCAAGGACTGGCTGCTCAGTTGCAAGCTTCCGGATCCCGAACACCTGTTGCAGCATGCAGTAGACTATACTTGACTATCATGCACTATATAACAGACCATAGTACACCAAAACAGAATATATTTTACTATGGTACACTAGAATGGACCACAGAATGCTAAGATGTACGATAATGTTATGGCACATTGTACTTTGTACGTAATATACTAAACAGACTATAGTACACTACAGGTAAACTATAGTAGCCCACAACAGAACGCATCCGGATCTAAACCTGTGTCAAAAGACAGCCTCGCAGCCAGGAAAGCGGAAGATCTCGGGCATGATGTAGCCGACAGTGGCGATCATTGCAACCCTGATTCATGTAGGGTCTAGGGAGCATAGGGTTCCGCTAAACGGATCGAATAGGGCTACCATAAGGGACCTATAAGGGTACTATGATATAAATCGTGGCCTTCGAGGCTTTTGGAGCTAAGCAACTGCTGCTGCCTTAAGATGGTGCGCAGGGAGGATAGAAGGATGATCGTCAAAAGACCGGTGCATCGGGTAGTGGTGATTAACGTCATGGGAGACATGCCAACAGTAATCGTCAACGTCGTAGTAAAGGCACAGAAGAACCTTGCTGCTCACAGACAGAAGATGCCACGCCCAAGATCACAACTTTCCCAGCCTCTCTGCATGTCTGTAAACCAATGAGTTTCAATCCGAAGGCGTCCTGTTCCGAAACTCTTCGTCCTTGACCCCATCCTAATCACAATCATATATAATATGCCTTGTTTAATATTCTCTTGGGCTTTTACCGTTACCAGACCCAAGAGCAACCCAAGAAAGAAAAGGTGCCTTTTTAGGGCTAAAGGGGGTTATAAGAGAACCTAAACCCTAAAGAGAAGGAATAAGGGCCTACTCTGGGTCTTACGGCTGATTGGGCAAAATCCTGCATTACCCATAAGAAGGAATATATCATAATTCCCTTAGTTTAGGGTCCTTGGGGGAATGCAGGATTTTGTCCATCAGCAGTATAATAAGGATCCTATTATATAGGGTACTATATTACATATATTAGGGTCCCCTATATCAGCAGTGGTTGCTATCCAAGCCTGCCGTGCTTGATCTCAACAGCGGTGTACCGATCCATCTTGGCATCCTCTAGGGAGCCGGTTCTCGGGGGTTCCTTTACTTTTAGAGTTTAGGGTTTGGGTTTTAGGGTTTCGAGTTTCAGGGTTTAGGGGTTTAGGGTTTGGGGGTTTAGGGTTTAGAGTTTAGTTTAGGGCTGGGGTTTAGGGTTCAGGGCAATCTGGAATCTGGAGCGGTTCTTGAAGACAGTGGTCCGTTTTTGGTGCTGCTTCCGTTCAAGGATCCTTGGTGTTAGTGTGTATACTTGTCCTGTTGAGGGTATTTGTAGTGAGACAAGCTGAGACTTCAGTGCTCGGAGCTACGCAGGGGGGGCTTCTGCAAGAAACACGCAGATAAAGGCCTAGAGTGGCAATCAACGGCCCTGGCCTAGGATATGGTGTTTCCGATTTCTGTCGGATTCGCTCGGGTCCGTTTTAGGGTTGAGGCTTCCTTGACTGACAAAACCCATAAAGGCCACCCCTGAGGTCCGTGTTGCCCAGGTTCAGAGGATCGAACTTGTCGGTCAAGGGCAGGCAAACGCCAACCACCCGGCGGGCAGTTGCCTGACCTGCCATGCAATAATCTGCTGTTGCTTGCACGCAACAGCAATGCTACGAGCACTGCGAGAGGGACTGTTTCAAACAGGAGGCAAATACTCTTGCTAGCCGAGGCAGCCTACAACAATAGGACCACCACCGTCATCATCATCCTCATCATCTGCACTACGACATCGCCGCTGCGTGTGAAAGCTGATATCATACTTACTCAAGGCCCTCTGACAGTAAGTCGTCCTAAACCCTATAACCCCTAAACCCCTAAACCCCTGAACCCCTAAACCCTAAACCGTTAAGTCTTTACGCTCAGGCTCATGAACCGGACCGGGCTGAATCTCCGCACAAGGAAACCTGGCACGGCATAGCAAATGCTGCCTCTGCCCTGTCGGAGAGAAGCGCCGACGGCGCCTGCTGCAAGGGCAGCTACGGCACCTGCACGGAAGGGCAGAACATAGGGGCCTTCATAATTAGAATAGGGATTTGGGGTATATTACCCTGTATTAACAATAAGGAAGCCCCAAAATTCTACAGGTATATATATATATATATATATATATATATATTTAAGCCCCTAATCAGGGTGTGCCGTAGTGGCCGTCCATAAACAAGGGGACATGGCTTCACTTCAAGGCACTGGAATCGTCGGGGGGTTGCAAGAGAGTGTCCCAACTTGCTGGGGTTGATCCCAAGGCGCTGCAAGGCACCTTCAACAGGAGTCAACACTACATCATAACCGTATATGAGGGCACCATAGTTTAGAGCCAGCCCCGAGGTCCTGCTTCGACGGAGCAAAGCACTCGAAAAAGCGACCCCTCAGTAACTATGTTGAAACTCCTGTGAAATATGGGTGGTTGTCAAAACTAGGGTCCCTTTTGGGGTCCTTATTATAATACGGCACCTAATATTTAGGCTACCCCAAAAAGGGCCATAATTTTGACAACTACCCATATCGCTTCTGTGGCACCTTCCTACAAGAGTGCCGCTTTCTCCCAAACCCGACCCGAAGCTGCAAAGAAACATACGGGAGTTTCCGAAAATGGGTGAGCCTAGTATAGTACCCTCAATAGTAGGATCCTTATTAAAGAGACCCCAAAATAAGGTACCCCTAATTTTCGGAAACTCTAAACCCTTATAGAGCCCTTTAAAGGAACCCTATTATAGTACCCTTATAGTAACCCTTCAGAAAGGAACCCTAAGGTACCCCTAATTTTCGGAAACTCCCAATACCTGAACCTCCAGAGCCCAGCCGGCTCCGCTGGGTGATGACCTGACCCTAAACCCATAGGCCCCAAAGTAGTTCCGTTCTGGGGGTTCATATATATAGTTTAGGGTTTAGGATTTAGAGTTTAGGGTTTAGGATTTAGAGTTTAGGATTTAGGGTTTAGGATATAGAATTCTGTAAGGTAATCCCAAAAAGGAACTACTTTGGGGCCTATGGGTAAACCCCAGAGACCCCTAAACCCTGAACCTGCTGCACCCACGCTGGCCGCTGCTGGGGCCTGGGCAGCAAGGGCTCTGGAATAACAGGGGGTTCAGGCATACCCGCAGAGATCCCAATACCCCTAAATTAAGGAATATACACCTTAAATCATAATATTAGGGCCTCTATAAATTTAAGGTATATTCTTTAATTAAGGGGTATTGGGTTCTCTGGGTACCTGCAATCCAGAAACGCCAAAAGTTCTGATTTAAATGCGGTTAGGCGAATGAAGTATGCCGAAGTATCCAACAACACCGGTATCCGTCTGCAAAACGGAAGCATTAAGAACAGCAGAACTAACGCAACCAGAAGTCGATGCGGAAACCTACTCATAGATCCTGGTCCTACACCCTTCTGTACAATGAAGCTCTAACCCAGGAAGCAAAAATCTGGAGTACCATGACCAACCTTCATAACCTTCCTGCAATCCTAGGCCAAGCGAGCTGCCGATGTTGCCGCCGCCGGGCTGGCGCGGAGAGCGGAGGTGGTCTCCTCTCGCGCTGGGATGATGAGTAGAAGCACCAGTCCAGTAGCAGAAGGCTATCAGACTTCCTGAACGGTTGTGAAGCCTTGGAACCTCATGGAACCGTATAGGGTAAGACCTTAGAGCGAGGCGTAGACTTCGCAGGCTGTCTTGGCATTGGTGTGGCGGCATCTACGCACGCTGCGTGTCAGCATGAAAAGCCGACGGACACGACAAACGCCGATTTATCTCGAGGTCATGCATCGACAGCTTCGTTTTGATGTCCTGTCAGTAGCTGCTCGCGAGCACTGAACACGCTGCCTAGTATTGGCAACCACGGCTTCCGAGGGCTGAAGAGACAGAGTGATGTCGCACAAGCTTTTAGTTCGGCATGGCACATATAAGATCGGGTTTGGTGGTGGCTACTCCGGCGAGTACGACCACGCGCAACAAGCGACAACCGGATAGCCGATGTCGACACCGTCGACACTGCACTTGTAAACCTCGTCCGTTCTCTAAATTCGACACTGTAGACAACGCAAACGTCTTAGCCAAGGAAAACTGGCCCTGAACCTGCGCATCTCCAAGCGCAGCACTCTCCCCTGTTGCATCACGGAGCCAAAGCAGTAAACTGTAAACCCTGAAGCCCAAACAACGAAACTCCATCCCTCTACACACCCGAAACCCCTCCACCCTACACCTTAAATCTCCTTTAAAATTTGGAGCATCCGGCCTGTGCCTTTGGTGCAACGAAAGCGAGGCAGCTGCCAGCGGAGAGGGCGAAGGCAGTGGCGGAGACCTTGGGGTTGTGTCGGGATTCTACTTAGCAGTCTGAGGTTCTATAAAGGGGTAAACGGGTAAGGGCTACTAGGAGGGTTTCGTATAATTAAGGAAATCACAGTACAGGGTTTGAGGGTTTAGGGTTCAGCCTTTCGGGTTGGGGTTTTGTCGTGTTTGGGGTTCAGCGTGCTCCCGAATCCATGGTGCGTGCAGTAAGAATGCAACGGTTTAGGGCAGGCAGCCGCTGACGAACTCATGGCGAGAGCTCAAGGCGATGGCTTTCCTCAACTATGTTTGAAGGGAACCTTAAAAAGGAGAGCGAAGGGTATATAGTCTGCTTAAATCAAACGTAGACCTGGCGACCGAACAGGGTTCAAGAGGGACCATCCTGTGAAGCAATCGACCATTTCTTGCAAAGTCACGGGTGTCCTGGAATGGGCCTCAAACAAAGGAGGTACCCGCTCTCCAAAAACCCCAACAGCTGGGCAATATGGAGCTTGGCGTAGGGTTCTGGGAACTGCTGTAGGAACGGTAGTAGAATATACGGACTGCAGAGTGAGCTGTTAGTAATTATTCAGACTCCTAAAGAAGCTGTTTCCGGACTTGGGTCTAGCAGCCGGAGTGGGGCTGTTTGCCAGGAGTGTGGACAACATCGCCATTCCACCTCCTGAACGGTATAGGGTTTTGGGCTATGTAAGGGTTTAGAGTCTAGGAACCGACATGACTCATTGCTTCGAAAAAAGCCCGTTTAGGATTTAGGGTTTAGGGCTACTGGTAGTCAAAACAAACCTGCGGCTGAGCTCGGTGCAACGCGACCAGCCATGGCTATTCTGATCTGTGCGGTTGACCGACCTCAGTTCTCAAGGCACTCTTACACGGCTTTCCTTTCGTAGATGACCCATATTACCCGAGACCCCACATGTTTAGAAGGGGATTCTGCAGGAACGACTTGCTGCTGCTACATGCTGCTACAAGTCATTCGAGCTCCTGTGGTGCTCACAAACTTCGAGGTGCTTCTCGCTGGCATTCATATACGGGCCTTTATGATTAGAGTTATTCCAAAAAGTACAAAGTGTATCCACTCAGCTACTAAGTTGGAGTGCCGAACCCGAGCAAACCGTCGACAAACACTCTTCTCAAGACGGGAGGCAGAAGTTGTAAGCTGCGTGGGGCCCGCAAGGTAATGCGCCGGGCTTGAGCCACCAGGTAAGCCACAACGAGTAGTGTTTATAGGTTTTTCCCTGAGCCCTTATGTGTCTTCAGGGAAGCCTACCCAACTAGCAGTGTTTAAAGTCGGACTTGATGTGAGCAGATGTGACAAGGCATCTTTGAAGACCCCTCAGTTTCGCTGGCTGAACATGTTTGCCAGGAAACAGGGCTGTAATGATCAGGCCAAGGAAATGACATCCTGAGTTATCCCTGCCGCGTAAAATCATTGAATACAAATCTACAAAATCCGTCTGCAAACCCTTCACAAGTTGGTCCCAACACCAAGCAAAGTCCAAAGTCTTGCACCCTAAAACCTACACTCAAGCCGTGCCGCTGCAAAAAACCGTCTGACAGCTCGAACGACTACGTCCCTACGCTGTCTACGGGGCCACTTTCGTTGCTTCGGGCGCAAAGGTTTCTGGGGCTTTGGTTTCCTGCAAAGCCTTTCGGTTCAAGCTTGTAGCCAGTTTGGAGCTTTAGGCTGAAGATGTAGGATGTTCTGGGGGTTTATAAACTTTATAAGGGCAAGATACAGAGTCGTGCCAGAGAAACTTTCTATGATGTCAAGACGACAGAAAACATAGGACTGCAGTCAACACTTCTGGAAAACTTAACGTCATGATTGGCATCAGGGCTGCCAAATTGCTCGGTCAACATGCAAAATCTTGAACTTGCGCAGAGCTTAGCTGAACTCGCTGACGAGACCCTTCATATTTTCCTCTTGTATCTATATCAACATCTAGAGCCAATCATGTAAAGCACCGAGCGCTAGACCTGCAGACGACCCATAAAGCCCCTGTGTTGATCTGCAAACCAGACATGGCAACTTTCCCGGGGCCTGCTCCGGCATCATCTGAACCACCCGGGGCACGGCGGATGGGGCGAGACGCTTCCTGCCCGGCCCCAAAATCAATAGTACGGTTGCGTGGGTATATCCTAGGATATTTCTGTTACGAGAAGACACGCAAACAACAAACACAAGCTCTAGTACAACAACCACAAAACTGACGAAAGCGTGACAGAACGAAACAGTGTAGTTGAGGCTTGCATGGTAGCAAAGCCAAAAGCAATGTTACATCTCGAGGCAGGCCGGGGGCATCTCGCTGCTTGTTCAACAGCGTGTCTCGATTTCACGCTTTTGCCATCTTGGGCAAGCTTTTGCTAACGCAGCTGCAAGCATCCTGGATGATTGATGCCCGCGCGCTGCTGATACAACCACTACGACGACCACCACCGCCACCACTACGACGACTACTACCACCACTACTACAACTGCTGGTGCTTCCACCACCCAGTACCACTACTACTACGACTGGCCCTACTACAACTACTCCCAGTATTACTACCAGTGCTACAAGTGCTACCCAAAGAGATCCAAACGACAAAAGCATGCTCGATCCATGGGATGGAAAGACAAAGACCGGACAAAGGGCTGTACCGAAAGCACCTGTCGGAAGATCAGCCCCTGAAAAGGCTTCTAGCATGCCTGGAGCCCTCCACCCTAAACCCAGGACCTCTAGACCCCTAAATCCTAAACCGCCAACCCTAAACAATTCCCTCAAACCTGCATTACTTCGCGGAAGCTGGCCTCGTCGAGCGGCGAATCAAGACCGGTTCTGCGGCCCTAGGAAGTTCAGGGTGTAGGATCCGGCATTGGGGGATCAGGGCTTTGACTTCGAGACACCACCAGGTTTGGAGAAGGGATAAAACAACAGGGCTCTTGAAAAAGTATATGGTTGGCTATCGCAGATGCTGCAAGGTTTCTGTTTTGCGATTCCGTCGTAAGAAACTGGTTAGCGGCTAGCGGCTAGCAGAAACGGTCAGGCTGTCGCAAGGCCATGACAGCACCATGCCAACAAACGGAAAGCCTTGCTGCCTGAACCTTGAAAACAATCTCTTGCTCGCTCAGGAGTATAGGGGTTAAGGCAACGCATTTTGGACACATCACGAAGAGATTGTGTCGTGTGTTTCTAAGGTTTCAAAACCAGCATTGCAGCATGCACACGTACTCGTGCACATGTTGGTGCGTATGTACGGATGTATGTATGAATGTATGTATGCATGCATGTATGCACGTATGGCTCTTTCTCTCTCTCTCTCTCTCTCTCTCTCTCTCTCTCTCTCTTTACCTCTCTATCCCTGTGCGCACACACACACACACCAGCAAACAAACTCAAACGTGAAACTTTCAAGCATGCTGCATGCCCGTGCTCACAAGGCCCGGACATCTTCTGGGGCGGCACATAGCTTGCCTTCGCGGCCTTCAAATGTTCCATCAAGCACGAACGAATGCAAGAATCGGCACAAACGTGGCCATGCCAAGAAACTAACATATAATGCACCAGGCTATCGTATATTATCGTATATGGTAGTGCTTTGATATGGTATATGATAGTAAATGGTAGTATATAGTAGTATATGACAGTATATGGTAGAATTTAATATATGGTATATGATAGTGTCATCGTCTTTGTGAATCATGCGCTTCCAAGTCGGCTTTCGCAACCCTTGCCCTGGGAACCCGAGTGCACAGGGTTCTGTACTTAAAGGCTCATGGGACCTAGTAAGTATAAGGTTATAAGTAGGTTATAATTAGGAGAACCCCACTTAGGGGACTTATAATCCCAATTATAACCTACTTACTAAGTCCCCCGACCCCCCAAGTAGGGTTTCGAGATTAGGGTTGGTTCTCTGCTCGCCCGCTCGCCCCGTGCATCTGATCCCTAAAACCCGTAAACCCTCTAAATCCCCAAACCCTAAACCCTAAATCCCTAAACCTATACCCTATAATCCGCAAGTCTTACAGCATCGCAATGCTGCGAATTAGGAAGGCATCGGAGTCCCTGGAACTGTATTCTTCTTGCCGATATGACTTTCGACACCATTCTCCTAAGCCGGAACAAGTGTCAATATCATTCCTGGCGCCTCGTTATACTCTGTTATGCCCCGAGGGCGCTTTAGGGCTTGGGCCTCTCGCAAAGGCTCCATGCATACACCCACATAGTCGGTACTTAGGCCTTAAAGGGGTCCCTATTTTGGCACTTTAAAATTTAAGGCCCAAGTACCTACTCTATGATACCTCAGGCTCCAGACAGTGAAACCCGTCCTCGAGCATCTTCTCGAAGCCTTTGCTGTCGCGGCCTAAGCCTCGGCCCGCCCATGAATGAGGGTTTAGGGTTTAGGGATTTAGGGCTTAGGGATTTAGGGTTTAGGGATTTGGCGTTTAGGGATTTAGGGTTTGGGGCTTAGGTATGGGGTTTCCGAGACAGGGTTTCAGAAATGGTCTTCCGGGTGTGCAAAAAGGTGTAGGGCAGATGGACTTTGCGTGACAAGAGTCCTGGCTTATGCTATAGATCCCTCTGCAGTCTAGGCCTACACAACGGAAGGTTCTACACCTCGAAGGTACTCAAGCCCACTCGATTCCCCGAAACTCGCTCCGTAAACCCACTGACCAATAACCCCAAAAGTATGTAGAATAATGGCCGTTTAGAGGTTTGGGGCCATTATTTTACCTATAGGGGTCTAGGCAAGAGTTCAAGGGTTGAACCGAGAAGCCGTAAAAAACCTAAATTCTGAAGTCTGAAGAAGCTACCCAAAGGCCCCAAAGTAGTCCCTTTTTAGGGCTCGTAAATAGAATTCTATATGGTAATCCCAAAAAGGAACTACTTTGGGGCCTCTGGGTAGACCCCTGAGGTTAAGGGTTTATAGGGATTCAGGGATTTAGGTTTTTGGCGAATCCTAAACGCTCAACCCGACCTAAACGCTCAACCCGAAACCACGGCCTTGTGAGGGCCCTACACTTTGAACGAACCGCTAAACCTCAACCAAAACAGTGTAAACCCGAAAGCAAAGCCCCTCCGCCCCTTTTTCTCTGCCGCCTGTGTTGCCAGCCATGCCCAGGCACGGCCGCAGTAATCGACGGTCAGCGGTCGCAGGGCCCCTAAAAAAGATCGAATTCTCGGTGCTTGTGCTTCCCGGAGTTGACAAGCCTCGGTGATTGGGTATAGGGTTCGGGAGCTTGGGGCTGAGGTCCGTTGAGGTTGGAGGGTTCGGACGGGAGTCAGTGTTCGGGCTATAGGATTCAGGGTTCAAGGTGTACGTTTAGGGTTCAGGGGGTGGGTTATTCAAGAAGATGGCTCTTTTATCCGGCCACTGTCCCGATCAAATTTAATATTTTGACTTCAGCGATGAAGAACACATAGCTGGTCGGTTTAGGCTCAAATTAGGGATGGTATATTCCAGATGTATGGGACATTGTTACATGATACTCCCTTTGCTTTTTGCTAAGCTTATGCTTGTTAAGAGCAGTCTCGCTCCAGCTGAGGACAGTATGTATCCTGCAGCCGTGGAGCACCGATGAGCGTGCTGATGGTGATGATATCTGGCTGGAGCCGCCGATTACCGAGGCCGTCCTGGGTGCCCAAAAGTTCCATAGGGCCCTAAGCCTCAAATACCCCCAACCCCAACTTTGTTGGGTCCTATTTAGGGTGTTAGGTCAACTTAAACCGAAACCCCAAACTCGAAACCCTGTAAACTGCATCACTACATGTAAACCCTGAACCCTGCAAGCCGACAAACATACAGTATACAGGGACTATAAGGAGATGTTACAACTAATTTTTCAACCCCCCATTTTATGCAGACACACGGAAACATTCAGAAAGCTTCGTCTCTCTTGGCTGATTCCACGGTTTCAAGCTGTGACTTAGTCCTTGAGAACGTTCTCTTACCGCGGAACCCAAAAGCCTCGATTTCTCAAATGGTGTTGACATCGCGCTTCAAGTACGAACACCTAGTCTGTCATTCGCAAAGATTGTGGTGAAAACTAGGACGGTATCTAAGCGCCGTCGATCCCATGTCGTTTGCCCCTGAAAAACCCTATTCTACCACTATAATGCGACGACGACAACGATGTGAATACAAACTACGGCCGACGCACAACATCTTGAATTACCTGAGTCACCCTAAAACCTACTGATGGTGCAAGGTTGTAGTACTAGCACATAAAAGTACCACTACCACGGCACGACGACAAGGACTACTACAAACTGCGTTTTCTACCGTTACTACTGCTACTACCACTACCTGTGCCCCTAGCACGGTCACTGCGGCTTCCACTACCCACGATTGCTACTACTACTACTACTACCACTACCACTACCACTACCACTACCACTACCACTACCACTACCACTACCACTACCACTACTACTACTACTACTACTACTACTACTACCCTACCTACTACTACTACTACTACTACTACTACTACTACTACTACTACAACTACTACTACTACCACAACCAGTACGACTAGTACGACTACGGCCAGTACTGCTACTACTTCCACGGCTACAACAACAACTACTATTACTCCTTCTGCTACTCCTCCTACTACTACTACTGCTACTGCTACTGCACTACTACTACTACTACTACTCCTCCTGCTGCTGCTGGTACTGCTGCTGCTGCTACTACTACTACTACTACTACTACTACCAAGACCAGTTCTGCTACCACTGCTCCTGCTGCTGGTGCCGCTGCTACCACTACTAGCAATAATGATACGGCCGGAACCCGAAAACCTGACCCCCTAAATCCTGGACGGTAAACTCGCAAAAATCCACACTTTAACCTTCATCCTCTGACTCCTGATCAGCCGCTAGTGCTGTTTCAACACCTATATGTATTTAGCAGGGTAGAGCCGCGGTCGTTACCGGAAACAACTACATGCATCAACCCACCAAGTAAATTTGGTCACGCATCATCGAGGATGATGATTCAGATGATGTTGACGATGTTACTGTGGACGGTCACGGCAAGACCCCATCAACCACTGAATCAACCACGTTTGCCGGAACACGAGCAACCGAACAAGCCATTCCACGAACCGACCAAAAGCCGTCATGCACTACCACCCAAGAACAAGCAAACAAGGTCAATCTGCCAAAACAAACACGAAGTCCACCGGCAAGCGCTTGAAATCATTAACCGTCAAGTAGTGTGGCTAAGACGCTAAGACTCACGCGAAATCCGGCTGTGCCTGTCTACAACAGATCGCGGAATTGTGCTCATGCAATGGTTCTCCGCACATCGGCGAACACACCATGTCCAGTTGTCACTTTTGAGATGGTTGACATTTGCTGCTGCCATATTTTTACTCCTACTTCTCGTATATCTACTTCTACTACTAGTGCTGCTGCTGCCACTACTACTACTACTACCACCACTACTACTACTACTACTACTACCACTACTACTACTACTACTACTACTACTACTACTACTACTACTACTACTACTACTACTACTACTACTAGTACTACTACTACTAACACTACTACTATACTGCTACTACTACTACTACTACTACTACTACGACGATGACGACTACTACTGATACCACTATCTACATCCAGTTACTACCACCGCTGCTGCGACGACGACGACGAGCACTACAATCACCAAGTACGGCGAACACGACCATTAACACTACCACTCTTCTCCATCACTACTGCCAGTACTGCCACAATTACAATTATTGCAACTGTGCTCACTATTGATGCGGCCACTACTGCTGCCGCTGCTGCTGCGGCCTCCACTACTACTACTACTACTACTACTACTACTACTATCCTACTCCGACTCCGACTCCGACTCCGACTCCGACTCCGACTCCTACTCCTACTCCTACTCCTACTCCTACTCCTACTCCTACTCCTACTTCTACTCCTACTCCTCCTACTACTACTACTACTATTATTAAGACACACGCTCGTAGGAGGCCTGGTGTTTTTCATTCAACCAGAACGCAATCTTCAGGTTTGAGCACCCTCATGGCGACTTCGGCTGCCACGCAAAATTGCGTGTGCAAAGCATGGTGCGTTTAGGCTCATGAAGTGCCGAAAGTACTGTCAAGGCAAAAAACGCGCATGAGGCAGCCGCAGGTGTCAGAAATCACGAAGTAGTTTTTGTGGGTTTCGTATGTTTCTTGGGCTGCGGCCACCTGACGCAGTCTTGCACAAAGGAAAGCACTACTTGCACAGTATGTTGTACAACAAGGCAAAGTTGCAGTAAATACCAATGTTTTGGGCATGGTCGCCAAAGGCATGGATGCTTGTGACAACGTGTCTTGCTCCACATCCCTGCGCCGTATGTTGTACAAAGAAGCGAATATGCCATAAATACCAGTGTTTTGGGCATGATCGCCAGAGGCAGTGACATGAACATTATTATCCTCCCCCCACCCCCCACCCCCGCATTCCCCCTCCTATTGTGCAAATTAGTACTACGACGACGACTACTAGTACTTCATGAATACTACGTGTACTACTACTACTACTACTACTACTACTACTACTATTGCTGCTACTACTACTACTACTACTACTACTACTACTACTACTGCTACTGCTACTGCTACTGCTACTGCTACTGCTCCTACTACTACTACTACTACTACGACTACTACTACGACTACTACTACTACTACTGCCATGCCACCCGCCTACCAACCACCTGGCGGCTAAACACATCATCACCATCATCGTCGTCGTTGCTATTGGACTGCGACATCACGAAAGTGCTATAAAAAGCGTAAAAATCGATGTGTTTTGGTCGGATAGTGCGAGACTGCTGTAAATACCGTGCAAAACGCGGGTACTGCCAAGAAGGGTTGAACACTCCGAGACCTTGAAGCGCAACATCTTATAAACAGCAAAAACACAGATGCCAGCTGTACACAGAGGCTCGCCAACAACCCTAAAGCCCAGACCCCGGCATAGGATGGTTGCTTGTGAAGTGGTGTGGTGTAGGCGCGCTAGGGTGTGGAGATATTTTTCGGCGTGTCTGCGAAACAGTGTCGTGACCATCCCCGAAAAGTTTCCCCCCCAACCCAATTTCGGGTTTCCGCCGAGAGCCCTTCGAAATCCCAAGGGCGAGTTCGCAAAGTCCAGAAGTAGGCTTGGTGATTATATGGACCGACATCACGAAAGTACTGTAAATACGTAGTAGAATGGCTCTTCTGGAAGTATTGTTCGGGGTGTCTGCGTAACAATGTCATCAGCACCCCCCACTCCCCCAACACCCCTCTCAAAGAAAAACAAGTCCAAAATCCGAACTTCGAGTTTGCAAGCTCAACAGGTGAGGTTGTGTAACAACCCGTATAAACATCCTTATCCCTGAACGTCGTTATCGTTCTGTTTCTTCTTATCGTTCTCCATGAAAGCTGCATCACCGTATTGTTATCGTCTTATCTTCTTCTTATCGTTTTACCACAGAAAACCATCCGAAAACGATCAAGGACATGGCAACACAAACCCTAAAGGCACTGGGTTGTCATACAATACCCAGTCAATTTTGAAGCTTCATAAGATGATCCTACATGACGAAAGTGCTGTAAACACCGAGCAAAGTGGATGTTGTCTTAACATGGTTAAGAGCAAGTGTAGTTGGTAGGGGCGGTGCTTACCACCACCACTACTACTACTACTACTACTACTACTACTACTACTACTACTACTACTACTACTACTACTACTACTACTACTACTACTACTACTAACTGCTACCACTACCACTACTACTACTACTACTACTACTACTACTACTACTGCTGCTACTACTAATAATAGCGTAGTGCATAATTGACGCTGTGCATTTCCTTACATCACATGCCCAAAACTCGAGTTTTAAGCATGTTTCACTAATTCTCTGGGGGGCGTTGAATTCTGAAAACCTTGATTTAGGAATTCTATCTTTGGGATTTGGGCTTCAACTTGAGAGCGGTGATGTTTTTGTGCTTTGGGTTTGATGAGACTTTGGGTTTCGCATGAGGGCCCTGGTGTTCGTATCAGGTCTATGGATTTCGTATGAGGGCCTTGCTTTTCCTATGAGGGCCTTGCTTTTCCTATGAGGGCCTTGGAATAAATTTTCAATACTTATTTTGGGCTTGGCTTGGCCTGGCTTGGGGGGTTTGGGGGTGGGGGTTGGGGGGTTCGGGGTTGGGGGGGTTGGGTGGGGGGGGGGGGTGGGCGGGGAACTTGAACATCATCAACATCATTCCTATGACCCTTGCTTTTCCTATGAAGGCCTTGCTTTTCCTATGAGGGCCTTGAAATAAATTTTCAATACTTGTTTTTGGCTTGGCTTGGCTTGGGTGGGGGTGGGGGTTGGGGGGTTCGGGGTTGGGGGGTTGGGGGGGGGTGGGCGGGGAACTTGAACATCATGAACATTCCTATGAGCCTTGCTTTTCCTATGAGGGCCTTGCTTTTCCTATGAGGGCCTTGCTTTTTCTATGAAGGGCTTGGAATACATTTTCAGTACATATTTTTGGCTTGGCTTGGGGGGGTGGGGGTTGGGGGGTTCGGGGTTGTGGGGGTTTGGGGGGGTTGGGGGGGGGGGGGGGGGGGGGGGGGAACTGAGGGCCTTGGAATAAATTTTCAATACTTATTTTGGGCTTGGCTTGGCTTAGGGGGGGTTGGGGGGTTTGGGGGTGGGGGGGGAGGCGCTGTTGGCATGAAGGTTTCGGCTTCAGGCTTCAACAAGAGCATCACAAAAAGTTAGATGAAGCTCTTGGCATGAAGGTTTCGGCTTCGGACAACTATCCTGATCCAAAATTCAACGCCCCCCTGACTGAGACAAGCCATGTCCTGCGTACGTCGGAAAACACAGTGCTTTATGCGGGCGACGTGCACGACAACGCAGCGTCAAATATGCACTACGCGCATACTACTACTACGACTACTACTACTACTACTACTACTACTACTACTACTACTACGACTACTACTACTACTACTACTACTACTACTACTACTACTACTACTACTACTACTACTACTACTACTACTACTACTACTACTACTACTACTACTACTACTACTACTACTACTACTACTACTACTACTACTACTACTACTACTACTACTACTACTACTCCTACTCCTACTCCTACTCCTACTCCTACTCCTACTCCTATTCCTACTCCTACTCCTACTCCTACTCCTACTCCTACTCCTACTCCTACTCCTGCTACTGCTGCTACTGCTGCTACTGCGACTGCGACTGCTATCACAATTGCTGCCGTTTCTTGCTAAATTTGCTAGCTCTACTAGTACTACTACTGCTACTACTACTACTACTACTACTACTACTACTACTACTACTACTACTACTACTACTACCACGACGACTACTACGGCTGCCACTGCTGCTGCTACTGTTCTTTGACTCTCCCTGCTGTTGCTGCTGTTACTCGTACTACGACGGTGTTATCCACAAGGTGCAGTGAACCGTGTCGACAGTCGGGATCCATGACAAAATCTGGCTCAAGAAAGACCAAACAACATTTCAAGCAAAACCAACACCCGCAAGTGCATGAGGGTATGACACACCCTCTCACAGCTTTCTCGAGCTCACTGTTTTAGCCCCAGTCCCACCCGAAGCTCCGTTGTTTTATGTTTTCGTTCGCTGATTGTTCTCGGAGTGCCATGCTTTGCCTCGGGGACCACCCGGGGACTCTACAAGGCCTTTTTGGCAGTAAGACTGCTACCCAGAGAACCCAATACCCCTTAATTAAGGAATATACCTTAAATACGAGGGACCTTAATGTTAAGATTTAAGGTATATTCCTTAGTTAAGGGGTATTGGGATCTCTGGGTATAGGGGTTTATGTAACAAGATACTGTAGACAAGGGTTGCTACCGAGGCATCCAAGGAGCCAGCACCTGCAGAGCCCTTTGCAGGCTGTTGGACTTCTTGCATGCCGCCAAGGCAGTGTTGTAGGTGACGATTCCCACCTGGCTGCAGGGATCTAGTTGGTGGTATTGTAGTCCTGGCTTAACTGCTCAGGGCTCTTAAGGGGCGCTGGTAGGGACTTGGTGTGATGTAGCCCGAACATGAGTCCAAAAGCCCAAATAACTTCCAACCTCGACGCCCTAAACCGTAAACTCGGGGCCCAAATACTGTTGCGGGCTCAACTGCTTCATGGGCAGTCAGTGTGCTTCCACGGACCAGGGGTTGCCCAGAGCGACCTACTGCACGAAAGCGCGCAGCAACTTTAGCTAGTGTCATACAGCTGGGAGTTTCCGAAGGACCCTAATATAGTACCTAAACAGTGGGCTCCTTTTTATAAGGACCCCAAAATGAGGTACCCCCAATTTTCAGAAACTCCCAGTTCAGTATAGTCGGTTATAGCTTGGACTGGTAAAAGGAAGGGCGCACGCCTTTAAGCTTCTGAGCTCTCTGGCTGCGTTTCTTAACTGTCGGGTGCATGCATGCCGCCAGTCAGTGCAACTGAGCCCCAACCAAAAATCGCTGAACGCCCATGACACCAGTGCACATGCGAAGATATGTGAAGCAGCAAGCCATTCAACCGTCAGACAGACCTAAACTCTGAATCGCCGAGGCCGAAAGCTCTACTATAGGGGCCTGAATAATTACCAAGACTATTTTGGGGGGCTCCTTATCAAAAGCGCAGGATAATGGACCCCAAAACCTTGTTCTGATTTAGAAGAGGATTTTGGTTAAGGCCCCTATACTAAAGCTCTTGGCTTGCACCTCAAGGGAACGCGTGTCCACTTCTTCCAGGAGTTGCAAGACAGGGTTCCATTGCCCTCCCTTCCTGGCCAAGGGGTTTAGGGTTTAGGGTTTTGGTTTAGGGGTCTAGGGTTCAGGGTCTAGGGGTTTAGTGCTTTAGGGTTTAGGGTTGGGGTTCAGGGTTCACGAGTTCACGACAACCCCTTAGAACTAGAAACAACAATGCTCTTATGGTATAAATAAGCAGAATTCCTAAGAGCAGTAAAGCCACCTGGGAGTTTCCGAAAATAGGGGACCCCATTATAGGACCCTAAATAGTAGGATCCTTATTATGAGGACCCCAACATAAGGTGCCCCCCCCATTTTCGGAAACTCCCACCTGGCAGTTCCCGGACCCTCAATGAGACTGTTCGCACCTAATTGTCCTTACAAACTGCGCGGTCTAGCCTAAGCTTTTACGGTTTAGGGTTTAGGGTTTACCCTAAACCCTAAACCCTAAATTTTGCCCAGGTTCAACGGCGTTCGTGAAAAAGCTGAATCCTAGCATCCCTGGTACTTCTTACTGGACGGTGGTTCGTAGCTTCTCAGGTAGCTCCCGTGGTGCAGCCAAGGTTCTCAGCTGCACTGATCGTGGCGATGTAGGAAATGGAATCCGCCTTTCAACCGCACGCCCTAAACCTTGCAGGAACTGCTTAAGGAACTCTTGTAGAGACCATAGAGGGACCCTTATACCACTCCTACAGATCCCTAAAGGGAAACCCCCCCCCCCCCCCACCCCTGAATCACCAACCTGAATCCCTGAATCCCTCGGCCCGAAACTTCGAGTCCTCGAAGACCCAACATGGGGCCTCGACATCCGCAGATCCCCAGTACCATGAGACCCCCACATCCAGGAAGAAGTCTCAAGCCTGGAACAAAAAACCATAGCAAAAATACCCAGGGGCCCCAAAGTAGCTCCTTTTTGAGTAGTATATTGGAGTCCCTAACCAAAAAAGAGGACACATCCAAAAAGGAACTACTTTGGGGCCCCTGAGTTACAAAAAGCGGTCACCCACAGCATGTCCCCGGAAGTCATTGGGACCCTGAACTCGAACCCCAAAGCCAAACCATACTTAGTTATAAGTAGGGGCTTTTAGGGGCCCTTTAAAAGGGATCTATAGGGATTCTATAAGGGTATAGGGTTTAGGGCTCATGGGTAGTTATAAGTAGGGTTATAAGTCCCCTAATATGGGTTATAAGTATAGTTACCCTACTTATAACTACCTACCCATGAACCTCCAAGTAAGCCCCTACGCCCTCAAGGCAGGCCTGGACAGAAGTGTCCTGCAGGAGATCCAGGAAGCGGATGGCCTGCCATTCTTTGCAATGAGCCGAAAAACACAGAGCAGAGCTCCCTTATTGGCTCTGCAACGGGCTACTTGGAGGTTCATGGGTAGTCATAAGTAGGGTTATAAGTAGGGTAACTATACTTATACTTATAACCCATATTAGGGGACTTATAAATTATAACTACCCTGAACCTCCAAGTAGGCTTTAATAGGGGTGCTTTAAGATGGATGTGTTTTGGGAGTTCTAGAAGAATGGTAGGTTTAGGGCTGCTGGGGGGCTGGGGGCCTTATGCGGTGTTTTGGGGCCTTGTCTTGCAGGTTTCGGGTTTAAGGTTTAGCATTGCAAGGTGTCATTCGCTGTACCCATAGGCCCCATAGTAGTTCCATTTCGGGCTTACCTTGCAGAATTCTAGATATGAACACCAAAAAGGAGCTACTTTGGGGCCTTTGCGTAGGCTTGGGGGTGTTCTGGGCGCTTTGTAAATTAGCGACCTGGAGCTGGAGCTGCCCACGCCTGGACGGGAGTTGCGGCTTACGGAGTCATGGCCACAGTCTTAGTTTCTACATACTAACCCTAGGCCCTATAACTACCCTAAGGTTCCTTTTGGGGGTTCATATTTATAGAGTCCTATAAGGCAATCCCCAAAAGGACCTACTTCGGGGCCTATGGGTACGTGCGTTGAAACTGGAACCCGATGTGTTCAACAAGCCGTATGCCAAGCAGGCAAACGCCCCACATGGCGGTTTTAGACACATTAGCTTAACGATTCAGGATTAGGGTTTGCGATGCTTTACGTAAGTGTAGGTTCTATCACGTGTGAGTGCGAGCTGCTCTCAAATGTTGGAACCAATGTCGTCATGGTCATGACCATCTGAGTAGTCTCAGGTTCCATGCTCGAACGCAGTAGCCATCAGACTTTTTTAACCGGTACTCAAGAGTTCGTAGTGCTCATGGCACTAGTTCATGCTAACGTTCGAAATTTCAAGCTGTAAACAAGTAACAATCACCGCTGAGATCGGAGTCGCGCACGCAGAGCTCATAATGTATGAAGCTCGGAGCGACTAGCTGAACCCTCAAGACAGCAACCCTGAAGCCTTAAATCGCAAATTTAACCAGGGACCCTAAACCCTAAACCCTAAAACCTAAACCCTAAACCAGACTAAGAGCATCCTCAAGGAAGGAGTGCCCCATCCGCCTGCAGCCACGTGTTGCCCTTCTCGAAAGCGGAAATGGCGGCATTGAAACTGACTCGTGTCCTCCAGCTTGGGGTTCTCTTACTTGTTTTAAGTTTAAGCTCAGACGTCTTTGAGAACCAAGACCGATAGGGGTATGGGCTTGGAGTTCAGAAGACTAGATTCAGAAGATCCCGCGATCAGTTTAACAAGCCTTAGACCGTTCCAGCACCGGAGGACGCCGGCGAGTTACAAAGCAAGACAGGCTTGCTGAGCGACTTTGGCGAACAACGACTATGGGTTTTGCTAGATCCCTCAGAACTTGAGTGTGCGTGATTTCGGTCGTCAGATAGTTTGCTGCTTTACATGCCAAGCTGGCACCTGGAAGGCCACAAACGAATATAGGGGCCTTAATTTTGATAGGGTTTTGGGGCCCATTATTATTATACTACACTTACAAGAAGGAAACCCCAAAGCAGTATAGGTAATTCAATTCTCAGGGTCCCATTTCTAATTATTAATCAGGGGCTCGCGGCCAGCAATCTGCCGCCCTCTAATTGCCTGGCTTGCAGCAGGTTTGTGTTAATTTTCATGTTCTGGCGCCGATAGCCTGCAAGTCAGAAACCCGAAGGAAGCCAGGAATGACCTCCCCGGAACCCCAAAACACTTCTCCTTTTAAACCCTTCTTTGAAGAATGATCAAACCACGGCAGGAACATATCGTCGAAATTCGAACCAAGTCTATCCTTGTCGCGTGACCGGAGGAGGCTCAACAAGAATTGGCACGAAGCGGGCTTCATCAAGTTTGGGCTCATGGCATTCATTTATCAGCAGCGACCCCAACGTAGGATAGGATCCTTCCCCCCCCCCCGCCCTCCAAACGCAGGAAACTGGAATGCTTACAACCTTCAATCCCTAAGCTGACTACTGAACCCAAGACGGTCCTAGACCCTAAGCCCCGTAACCCTAAACCCTGAGCCCTAGACCCCCCCCAAAACCCTGAAGCTCGCACCCTGTCTCTGGAAGCTCCCCAAAGACCCCCCAAAGAGTCTCCAAAAAATAGATCCCTTAATGGGGGCTCCTATAAAGTACCCTTAGTATAGGGCCCCAGATTAGGGGATCTACTTTCTAGATCCTCCCATATCCTCCCTAAACCCCTAAACCCCTAAACCCTAAACCCTTTAAGGGATCTACTTCTTAGATCCTCTTCCGGGGGTCTGGGTCCCCAAAGACCCCCGAAGCACCTTTGTCCTTTTAGAAGTAATAGACGGAGGCCTATACCTATATCCCTTATTAGTAGGAACTATTTAAGAAGGTCTACTGGCCGGTCTGTTTATTCTTTTGGGGGAACCATGAAAAAGGACAAGGCCGCCCCGAAGAGTCAGCCGCCCGGCCCGGTGGTCCTTTGCAGCTCTGAGCCTTGAATCTCGGGGGTCAGAGGCTTCGAGACTACATAGGGGATGAGGGTGTAAGGTAGGGTTTAGGGTTTAGGGTGTAGGGCTTAGCGTTTAGGGTGTAGGGTTTAGGATTTAGGGTTTAGGGTGTAGGGTAGGCTAACTTTTCAGGGTAACATGGAAGTTCGACGGGCATGCTTTGCAAACTCACTCGCGAGACAGCTCACAAGACACAGCACGACAAACCAAAATCTGCAACCTCTACTTGGAGGTTCATGGGTAGTTATAAACAGGGTTATAAGTCCTCTAATATGGGTTTCAAGTACAGTTACACTACTTTACAACTCTACTTATAACTACCCATGAACCTCCAAGCACACCCTCAACTCCAACAGTCGTCTTGGCAGGCAGAAACCAGAACATCGCCCGTATCTCCTATATTCTCCTATGTAGACCACAACCAAGCCCCCCACAGACTGCCCACTCGCCCCTAAATGCCCCACCACAGCACATCAACACAGAGGATCAAAGCCACCAAGAAGCTACCCATTGAGGCAAGCAAGTGCAGCGCAAGCTGCCATTGCTCGCCCTGCACTGCTGGGGTTGACTGCTGGGAAGGATCCAATATTTTTCTATGGCGAGGCATAGACCTTGGCTTGGGGGAGGGGTCGAACCGTGTTTAGGGTTTAGGGTTTAGGGACGAGCCGATGCGAAACGTAGAAACACAGCATGTGGTTATGCCGCACGGCGTATCGGTGTGAGAAGCGTGTCAGCTCTACCGTGCTTGAGTCCCGCCAAAGCTCGCCAACCAACACAACAAGAAATTCGGCAACCCTTCATGAACACAAGCCATCTGAGACGCTTGGTCCAATCTGGACTGGAAGAAGTCTGAAGCTTAAACCTGCAACCCTGTAAGGGTTCAGGCAAATTCACATCATTTACTTGTCCTTTGTTACACTGTCCTCGCTAGGATATATGCATATATAGTCTGTGCATATACATATATATATATATATGTATGTGTATATATATAAACACAAATACAGAGGAAGAGAGAGAGAGAGAGAGAGAGAGAGACAAATAAACACAATCAAAACAACGACAATTAGATGATCATGGATGTATGAGTGTCGGCCTTCTGCAGCGCATATACGAACCTCTAAGGAATGTTGATATATATATATATATATTGAGAAGAGGTTACAGGTTACCTACGTAGGTTATAAGTGGGGTTATAAGTAGGGTAACAATGATTATGACCCATAATAGGGGACTTATAACTCCACTTATACCTACCCATGAATCTCCAAGTAAGGTAGTGTGGGGCCTCGAATCCGTCCCCCGGAGCGCTTGGTGACTTGCAGCTTCCTGGAACTCGTGCCATCGCCTGCCTGAGCCCTAGACTCCCTCAACCCACGGCTTAGGGTTAGGAGTTTAGGGCTTTTGTGTTTCTGAGCTCCTTTAGGGTTTGGGGTTGGGGTTTGTTAAGGTTTAGGATTTAGGGAGGGCCGGCCTTCTCGCAAGCAGTCAGAGACGAATTCCAGAGGATGGTGTTGCCGCGCAGAGTGCGTCTCCGAAGCCTCATGCTTTTGTCTTGCATCTTCAGGCGGCTTCTCAAAGTCAGAGGTGCCTGATGGAAGGGTCCTTGTAATGCCGACCTACACACACACACACACACACACACCTATGTATGTATATATATATATATACATATACGCATGCAGATAGATAGAGACACAGAGAGAGGAATGAACACATACATATATAAATATATATGTATATTATATATATATATAGAGAGAGAGAGAGAGAGAGAGAGAGAGAGAGAGAGAGACTGAGTGAGTGAGTGAGTGAGTCAGTGAGTGAGTGAGTGAGTGATGGTCCCCTCTTTGTACATTCGCGGAAGCGAACATGCACCCAGCACTCACTAACCCTCGACACTAAATATCAACCGAACTCTTCAGCCCCCTCCCCTCCCACAGTTTGATGGTTCCTAAACCCGAAAACCCTATTCTCTTGCCCATCCCTTAACCCCTAAGCCTCAGCCCCTCTCCTCAGTGTGACGATTCCTAAACCCCAATACGTTAGTCATATAGGGACCTTTATTGTCAGAATAGGGTTTTGGGGTATGTTAAACCTATTCTAGCTAAGGAACCCCCAAAACCCTATTCTGATTATGAAGGCCCCCACCCTCATAGATCCCTTCTAGCATCCCTTAAAGGAGCCCTTTAAAGGGGACCCTTATAAACCCTAAACCCTAAATTCATCTCTTGCCCGGAGGCTCGCGCAGAAGGGACAGTGCTTGTTGCCATTCTTGGGCTTCGGCCTTTGGTGGATCTCGAAGTCGGGCTCAAGGTTTAGGGTTTAGGGATTTAGGGATTTAGGAATTTCGGGATTTAAAGTTTAGGGGTTTAGGGTTTCAAGGTTTCTAACATGATTAGAATAACTAACCAGTGGTTTTGGGGTTCCCTTGGCTCTTTAGCTCCTTATTTAATAGGAATTATCATGATCCCTGGCTCCTTAGCTCCCCCAATATCAATGGTGTCTTTCAAAAGGTTTCATAAGGGCTACCATAAGGGATCTATGAGAGTGCTATAATATAGGGGCCTTAACTGTCTTAACAGAATAGGGTTTTGGGGCCCGTTGTACTACAATTTTAGTAAAGAACCTCCAAAACAGTATAGGTAATAATTACGGCCCTTATAGTATATGGGTGTGCTGAGGTTAAGGGCTTCATAAAGTTTAGGGTTCACCTTGCTCCACAAGGGTGTCGGGATTATATAGGGCTTAGGGTTGCTAAGGCCAAGGGCCCCAGAAGGGTCTATAAGGATACTAGAAGGGATTTTTGGGATGTAGGCAATTAGAAGCCAAAACCGCGAAGCCTCTAAAGAAGAGGCTTCGTAGCACCCTAAATTCTAGGTGTCGTACTTTTTTTAAGGACCCATAAAAGGGACCCTAATTTTGACAACCAGCCATTTCGAGAGGTCTTCGGGTGTATAGGGCTTTTACTTATGTTTTTCGGATTTGGGGTTTGGGTTTAGGGGGGTCGAATTCTGGGGGCCGAAGCACTTCGGGAGGGTTTGTGCGACATGCCACCTTACACGATAGAAACAACATGTGGGTGGTTGTCAAAATTGGAGTCCCTTTTTGGGTCCTTATTATAGTACGGCACTTAATATTTAGGGTACCCAAAAAGGGACCCTAGTTTTGACAAACACCCACATGTACATTGTCCCCCCTCCTCTGTGACGGAAGCTCTGGGCCCCGGGCACAGGCGCTCACCACAGCGCCAAAGGCGACGATGTTGCTGCTTGCCGAAAGTTGGCTCAGAGCCCGCTGCCACCTTAGGGTTTAGGGTTTAGGGTTTAGGGTTTGCTACAGACTTGGGTTTATCATTATCATGACGGTCGCAACAAGAAAATCATGGGATGGGGGGGGGGGGGGAGGGCCCATGATTTTCTTGTGGAGCGACACGTCGTAAGAAGGGGGCACTCCTCCCCTTGCATGGCTGAATTTGAAGGGCGGTTCAGGGATGAGATAGGATTCAGGTTCTCCGCAGCCGGAAACTCCCTAAACCCTAAACCCTACCTAAAACCCCAAGGCCATAAGGAATGCCTTACACGGCACGTCGCAGCGACGACGAGCAGGCTGACCAGGATCTTCAGTTTAGTGTTTGCTTATCTTACGCACGGTCTTTCCGTCCTTCTGCATCTCGCTCTACGACTACCCATAGGCCTCAAAGTAGTTCCTTTTTGGGATTACCTTATAGGATTCTAAATATGAACCCCAAGCAGGAACTCCTTTGGGGCCTTAGGGTACCTTGTACGCGCGCTGACGGATTATAACAAGCAATCTTATGCTGGACACGCTGTCGAAGGTTAAACTTCCTGTTGCACTTTCGTTGTGAAGCCAGGACAAATATTCGCACATGGGTGCAGCAGGATCGTGCCTGACGAACTCGGAAACTAAACCACCGAAAATGGGATGTGTCTGTAAGAACATATCGGGATCAGGGACTCCGATGACAGGAATTCACTGCAAGGATGCGTGGACAAGCATTCCACGGACCAACCGTTGCCGGCTGTGCATACGATCAATCTTTATGCTTTGCAAAATCACAATGTTGTGTGCACTCGCACACGCACGGGCACGAACACACACGCGCGAGAGAGAGAGAGAGAGAGTGTCTGTGTGTGTGTGTGTGTCTGGTAGGTGTGCAAAGCTTGGATATAATAACAAGCTTTAGAGTCCTGCGTCCCAGATCTCTGCCTGCGCAAGAAGCCGATTGCACTTCATGGCAATGTCATGTTTCGCTTTCCATGAACCAACGTCGAAAGTTATGTGTTACCTTTCCTGCTTTTGAGACAAGCTGCTGGCTGGCCTTTTCGAAGGCACTGGTGAGGGCATTGTAACTCACCTTGGTGATGTACGGCAAGGCTCCGTGAGTAACCCTTCAGCCCGAATCCTCGCGAACATTCCAACTCCCGAACTGTCAAAGTCTTCAAACCCCAAACTTGAGCCCTAAAACCCTGAACCCTCATGAGATCATAAACCCTAGCCTGAAGCCCAAGGCCTGAAACCGGAAACCCTCAGACTCAGATCTTAAACCCCAAAGCCCTAAACCCGAACGCACCAAAAAATTAAAACCCGAAGGCCCCAAAGCCTCAAGCCAAAACGCCTCAAAGTGACGGTGTCTGGAGTCAGGCCACTTTGCTGCAAGGAGCTGAAAAGTAGGAGAGCCTCCTGCCAGCAGCCTGCATTCCTGGGGCTCAGAAATCCACGAAGGTTTGTGGTTTAGGGCTTCGGGCTTGAAGTTCCGTGGCTTTTTCAGGATCTTACCAGGGTCTTGTAGAGGGGCTGGCATATCAAAACTGAATAGAACTGTGCCTGTGCAGTCAAAGTCTTAGCTCTTGCGGCGTGGTTTTCTGTGGCTGCGGTTTGGTCTATGTAGTCTATGAACCTGAAGACTTTACATTTTCATCCTCGCAACTTGGGGCTCAGATTTCTTGGAGGGAGGCATACAAACGTGGGGAGAGCACTGTGACAATGTTGATAGGGTTTGAGAATGGGTTCCCCAGTTGCCCCATGATCGCAGGGTTGTCTGTTCTGATAGTAGAACAGCTTTGACGGACGACGGTTTTGGAGCCGCGCTTAGTTCATTCAGGTGTGGCACCTTAGAACCCCCTATTAGAAGCCCCCCCCCCCCCCCAACCTGAAATGAAATACTAACCAAATCCTCCCCGATGGTCAGTAGTTGATGGATCATAGCACGTATCTAAGCATACTTTACCATTGCTTCAAACCTTCTGTCCGGGTGACCCACAGGCACTGATGGCAGCGTTGAACGAGATCAGATCTACCTGACAGCATGTAGATGTAGGATGGATGTGGATTTCGGGCGATTTCGGGTCACGAAAAGTTGAGGTGTTAAAGCTTTCCGGCGATTTGAAGATGCCCAGCATACCATCCTACAGCAGTGCAGGGACCCTGCAACACCGATAGCCCATTCTGAGGATCCAATGTCGAAGTCCCGAGACCCGGTGGGCTCTGCCCTGTAGGCTGCGTCCCCAGTGCTAAGTCACAATGACAAGAAGCCACAAGGCTGTTCCTTCAAGCCGTGAACCCTTAAAACCACCCAAACTACACAAACTAGGCAAAAACCTAAACCCGAAGCCACGAGGCGACTCTGCGATAGAAGTGTCGGCTGTTAGGTGTTCAGGATCTTGGGATTTAGGTCTCCTCAGCTCCTCAACTTCGAGCACAAGGCTTGTAAGGACTCAAAACCTTTCAAACTAAACCCCTTAAGCTCTGCCCCAACCCTTAACCCCTGAACTCTGAACACCAAGCCCGATCTAAGCCCGATTTAAGACCAGCCCATGTAGAATCCGTACAGAACCCTTATGTGGCCCTAGACCCTAAACCAACAGCCCTTTATCACTGCTGTTAAGTTCGGATTGCTCGGAGACGCTTCGCGCGAGACTGCTCCAGCAAAGCCACCGCGGACCGCCATTCCTCGCCGGCTCTGTAGGGTCTTAAGGTGACTACAAAGGGTACTCTAACGGCTCCGGCTTCTGATATGGTACCTTTACAGGTTCCTGTAAAGGTACCTTCAAACTGCGGGCTTCTTGGTTTTGAGGGCTTTGGGTTTCTTAGGCTTGAGTGGGTTAGGTTTGCTAAACTGCAAGCTACGGAGACCTGGCAACGACAAGTGGGTCCTAACGGGCTCACGAAGGGTCTGGAGCTCAAAGCAGGGGGTGAAGGCGATTTAGGTCTGAGACAAATCCATTACACCCGAAGTTTCACAACGAGAGCCTGCCACTACTTCAATCGCAACCTTCAGCTGCTCCTCAGCTCTAGACACCACATGCCTCTCGCGAAACAGGCGAAGCCCCAAAATCCTGCAAAGCCTTCCGGCCACAAAATCCTAAAGCCTCAAAGCCTAGATGCGAAATGATACAAGCCTAAGGCCTCAAACACCGAAACTAGCTGAGAGGCTGCAGCTTTTTGGCAGGCACTGCTGGCTGAGTTGTACAGGAGCAGGTCACACTGAAGCGTCCTCTCCTGGTGAAAGCCGTGGGCGGGGAGGTGCACTGTGTGATGAATGCACGCATTGGTGCTTGACCTATATTATTCTGCATGCTCGGGTTTCTTGTAAAGTGTGCACCACGTTAAACTCCTTCTGTGATAGGTACTCAAGAGCTGCAGTGCAGCTTCCGCTTTGGCATCTTGCTTCCAAGCATCGATAGCACCCCAAAACTTCACACTATCTGAGAAGCCTTGTGCAATGAGCCTCTCGCATGATTCTGCACCCACAGGAACCAAAGTGTGCGAGCAGAGTCCTCCAGGTCCTCAAGCAACGAAAGCGCCACTTGCCATTCCGAGGCTTTCCTTGCTGCAACGCATAACAGCAAGTTGGCACAACAGAAATGATCCCAAAGAGTCGATAGTACTGTTATCGGGGATTCTTCCTCAAATCATAAGAGTAATTCCTAATATAGAAACCCTACATTCTACTACTATAAAGGTACTTCGGACCCTTTGAGGATGCTGCTGATCCTACTCCCATGCCGAGCCCGGCACCGACGATGGACGACGACAGCGACAGTGACGAGGACGACGACTACCTCTATGAGCAGCAGCAGTAGCAGTAGCAGCTGGGCCGAACTGTGGGAGTTTCGCGCTGGCGAGAGGCTCGCAGGCTGTGATGGCTGAGCTGAAGCCGATCAAGTCGGCCACCTTCGGGCGTTGTCGGGTGGTTCAGGGGTTAGGGCTTAGGGTGTTCGGGCGGGTCGTCTCCATCGGCAACCCCTTGCGGTTGAAGGTTTTTGTGACACATATGCTTGAGGGTACAGGACCCTATGCTTGAGAAAAGCAATCTAATCCTCAACACCTTGCAGCAAAGCTTTGGGATTAAGTGATCTAGTCCTCCTTGGCCCTGTACACTCGCCCAAACCCAAATATAAACCATAAGCCCTAGACCGCAGGCCCTACCCTTAATACTAATACACATCCCCAACTCACTGATAGAAACCCACTTTAAGCCCACACCCTAAACTCTAGTAGAATCCATGCCTTCGATGACCCAACTACATCCACAGAACCCAATGCCCAAATTGAATCCATGCTAGAACCCCCCTAAATCCATAGCCTCGTCTTCGCTGGCAGCAGCCAAAAGCGCCAAGGCCTCACAGCGACTCTGAGCCGCATAGGACTGGGACTCGGAAAGCAGTCTTAGGGTCTTTCTGTTTTTTTGGGGGGCCCTTTTTCAGTCTTTCTGGGTTTAGGGCTAAGGGTTTAGGAGGGTCTTCATCAAAACGCATCACGACCAACCATAATCAGAAGTAGCACATGTCCCGAATCCCGAACCAACCCTAAACCCTTCAATCCTCAAAATCCTACTACCGTACCGCCAGAAACATCCGAAACCCTACTGCCCTAAATCCCAAACCCGAAGCCCCTCAAGACCCCAGAACCCCAAAGCTGTTGTTTGAACTCTCTCGCCTGGAACCAGTGTCCGTGTGATGCGCAGCCCGCTATCGCTGCGTTGAAGGCGATTGCCCCAGGTTGAAAGCGAAGAACCTAAGATGGGTGGGGGCCTTATAATATAGAATTGGGTGTTGGGTTCCTTAACAGGGTTCCTTGAAGCGTTACTACCAGGGGTTGAGTATAGGGGCCTTAAGGACTAGAATCGGGTGTTGGGGTTCATTCAGAAAATTCCTCTAAGTACCGGGGGGACTTAATCATTCGAATGGGGTATTATCCTAAACCCTAAACCCTGAACCCTGTAATATGCTATAGTTGTAAGAAGGAGCCCTATAGGACGCATATTTTATACCAAGCTTTGCACCCAACAAAAAGGGTGGGGCGTTAGGGGTTTCACTATAGGATGCTTTACACAGACAGGTTTTATGTGTTTTTCACAGGCTTTAAAATAATTGACAAAGTCGTGTTTATGGGGTTGAACACTGAACCCAAATCCCTAAACCCTACGCAGGTGCAGCCAAAAACTGGTCTGTGGGATGCCGATGGCAAGATCAAAACTAGACTGTCTAGACATAACGAATCGCCATTTCTGCAAAATATTAAATTATACGGGGTATTGCAAGTGTTAGCACAGGGTGATAAGGCTGGTTACTACAGGCCCTATACAGGTTTCACAGCCCAAAGGACTAAGCTGCCCTAGAACCCTCCAGACAGTCAACCCCACCCCAGAACCCTCCACCCCAGTCCAGAAAGCGTGCTTGGCATATGATGGGAATAAACAGCAGTACGGACAATAACAAGTACAAACGTAAAAACACTAAGGCCAAAAGATAGTAGCAGTGCTCGTTGCGGAAACAAAGCCATGAAATCGAAACTGCAACCAGCCGACCGCCGAAATACCCAAACGTGCTGAACTGCGAACCCGATATACCCTGAGCCCCACGTCTTTAACCGTAAACGCCACCACGACCCCACCCAAAGGCCCCAAAGTAGTTCCTTTTCGGGCTCGTATATAGAATTCTATATGGTAATCCCAACAAGGAACTACTACGGGGCCTCTGGGTACAGTAATTAAACTACAAAAACCATGAACCACTGACCTTTGCAAGGCAACGGTGATATAGGGGACCCTATATATGTAATATAGTACACTAAATAACAGGATCCTTATTATATGGTTTTTTAAGCCTATAGTATCCTATATAATAGGATCCTTATTTTATGGACCCCAAAATAAGGTAGCTGAACTCCCCTAAACCCTAAACCCTAGACCCCAAAATAAGGTAGCTGAGCTTTGCAAAGCAACGGCGAGGTCGGCGAGGAGTTGCGCACCCTCCTCCCATCGTCCGGCCTGCGGGGGCTCCCTTAAAGGGGATCTATAGGAGGCTTATAAGGTTCCCTTTAAAGGGATCTATAGGGTTTAAGGTCCCTTTTAGGGCTTCTTTAAGGGTCCCATAGGACCCAAAGTAGTTCCTTTTTTGGGATTACCTTATAGGATTGTATATATGAGCCCCAAAAAGGAACTAAATTGGGGCCTTAGGGTATAGTAGAAGCCAGAAAGTTAGAAAATCAATATCTTAATGCCCTTAAGGTTAAGTACAAGACCAGCACTCATCATCCTAAATACATGTTCCAACTTTCTGTGGCTTTGGGGTTCAAGCTTTTCAGGGTTTGAGGGTTTTAGGGATTTAGTAGGTTTTGCGATTTAGAGCTTTAGGGTTTCAGGGTTCAGGGATTCGGGGTTTACGGTTTAAGGTTCCGCACTTTAGTGAGGGCCGTGAAAAAGGTTTCATTGGCTTGACACCTTGGGCTGGTTGCGGTTTTAGGAGTCAAGGGTTTCGGGCTTAAGTGCTTGAGGCTTAAAGCTTAAAGGTTTCAAGACCATAAACGTTTAAGGGTCCCATAACTTTCAGACTCAGACCATGACTATAGTTGTTGTGTGGAACTGACAAACATCAGGGTATGGTAGGTCGGTTGGCTAAAGTAAAGAAAGTCTTATGTAGGCTAAGTCATTCTGTGTTGTGGTTCGGCGTCCCAGGGATGCTCAGATGTTGAGCGGCTTCAGGGTTTGTGTGCTTTACGATGGCTGCTTCATGACGGCAGCATTTCACTTTAATGGAACCCTAACTAAGCCCTTTAAACTAATCGAAGTCGGGAGACAGTGGCTTTCGACTGGTCCAGAGGAACGGTTCTCAGCGGCTTGGGGCGAGGGAATCACGGGGTTCTGCCTCCTAGTGCGTGCGATGAAACATCTTCTTTTCACATCGACTTTCACACTGGGCCTTCCAAAAGGCATCCCACGATTCAGGGTCGTTTTAAAGTCCAACTTTTGCAGAAGCATCCAAATGGCCAATGGCAGTCTCGAATGCTGTTCCATCAACACGTCGAGGCTCGGGAAAGCAGTTGGAGGTCGTCCACGAGGCTGAGAGCTCCGCCAGTTAGTAGCACCGTCCTTACCCGCTCGAAGCTGTGGATGACCACTGCTATTTATCTGAGATCTTGATATACCGTACCTATACCGAGATTGAATTCTACCATATGAAGCATTATGTACCTTCAGTCCACTATAGCCCAGAGATCCCAATACCCCTGAATTCAGGAATGTACCTTAAATCATAATATTATGGCCTCTCTAATTTAAGGTCTATTCCTTGACTAAGGGTATTGGGTTCTCTGGGAGTCTGCCTTGCCAAAGTTCCCGAAGTCTGAGGAACCCGAACGATTTTGAACTCGAGTCTAGACCCAGAAGTAACCTGGGAATACAAGGGGTGCCCTTTTTGCGTTTAAGGGGGTTATGAGGGAACCTAAACACCAAAAAAGGGGAATAAGGGCCTACTCTAGGTCCTAGGTAAACCCTAAACCCTAAACCCTAAACCTAGGAGTTCTTACAAACTCCTCAGGCTCCATGGTGCCTTCGCACAGGCGCTAATGCACGTGTTGTAGCTGACCTGACGGGTTGAATTAGGGGTTTAGCTAACGGTAAACCCTAAACTACCCATCTAGGTGGGGCTTTTTTGAAGCCTTGGAAAAATATTAGTAAGTAAGATCTTCTTAAGCCCAATAAGGGAAAATATAACATGTCCCAAAGCCCTACCTAGCCATATAAACCCTACACCCAGAAACTCTGAGCCCTAAATCCTAAACCCGAAGCCCTGGGTTGGGGGTTTAGGGCGGTCGCCAGGTGCATGGGATCTCGACTCGCGGGCTCAAGGTTGTGGTTTCGCACTTGCAATTCCACTGTAGACCCTGGTTTAGGGTTTAGGGTTCCGCGGAGGCTGATGGGGATTATGTTGCAGGATTCTGGATTTGTGTATGCTTTTGTACGCTTTTGAAAAATGGTTCCTTAGGTGAGTTGAGACTTGTGACAAAAAACGTGGGGTTTCGGACGCTATGCCCCTTGCTTGCTGCACGACCCTATCAAGAGCAAAAGCTGCAATAACGACTTCCCGGAAAACAATACGTCGAGAAGATTATTCATGCGTGCCAGCTTCGGCGCAGAAAGATCCCCCATCCCTAAACGACCTAATGCTGAAAACCCGAACAGCCCAACAAATGAGTTGCCCACCCCCTCCCACAAAAAAAAACATGCAAATCTCCGAAACGCGAAACTCTCCAACCTCTGAACCACCAAGCCCCAAAACCCAAAGCTTCAATAGCCTTCACAGCGCTTGTACAGCCCTCAAAACCCTAAAATCCTCAACCTAAAAACTCTAAACCGCCTCAACCCTAAACCCTAAACCCCGAAACCCCAAACCCCCAAAAAAACGCACCTCGGAGCCCAGCAGCTGTTGCTGAGGCAGCTCTTCGAGCAAGGCCCTTGGTTTCGGCTTTTGCGGGCTTCGCATCTTTGGGAGCCTTTGGATTCTCTTTGGGAGCCTTTGGGTTCTCTTTGGGAGACTTTGGGTTCTATGATTCTCTGAGGGTTATAAGGTCTTTTAAATTGATGCAGGTTTTGGCGCTTGGATGGATTGAGCCGCAGTTGTCTGTAGATTTGGAGAAGGCTGCGCTTGTTAAGAGGTAGGTGATGCCACTGCCACACATCGGACATTAAATATTGGCTGAGTCTCAACGCCGCCTGCCACTGCCCACCTTGCAGGAAGCATGCCGATGCTACTGCTCTCCGATGCAAGTCACACCCAGCAAAAGACGGCAAACTGCCGGCCACTTCCACAGAGTCACAGCTACTGGTCACTGCACTATCTAGCAAGAGGCAGACTGATTAACCAACCAGTCCCCTCTGCAGCTTCAATCTCTTGCCTGGAGACTCACGCACCCCCAACTCTCAAACGACATCCATCCATCCATCCATCCACCCATCCATGCAAGCCACTCTTGGCACAAGCGCTGATGGCGGTGTTGAAGACGATGACGTCGCTGCGCAGCTGCATCTCCTCCGACGCCAGGACTGCACGCTCGAGCTTCGGCTTGAGGGAATTTACTTAATCATTAGAATAACAAGGTTTTGGGAGCCATCATACAAGGGTTCCTCTAAAAAGGGTCTTACTAAACGGGTACTATTGTAATTTTTGGGGCCTTGATCATTAGAATAAGGTTTTGGGCGGGGCCCATTATGCTATAATTGTAACAAGGAGCTCCCAAAACAGAATAGGTAATTAGAATCAAGAGGGAAGGAAGGTACTTAAACCCGGCCAACCCTCTAAAGAACCAGGGCATCTAGCTGCATTGCCCTTCTTTTTCTTGAGCCAAAGTGGCGTTCGTAGTCTGACTTCACAAGTGAAACCTGGGCCCCTGAAGCATTAAAGCAGGGCCTCTCAACCTAACCTCTGTAACCTCCTCTGTCGGGTCTCTGGGGCTGTGTTCTTTCAACTCCCCCCTCGCCAGAGTCAGCTACAGGAAAGACTGCGAACTACTTGAAACTGTACAATGGGGCGCTTAAAGCAGCCCCCTAAGCACACGGGCGCCTACGGCAGCCCCCCTAGCGGAAGAGCGCTAAAAGCAGCTCCCTCCGGCAAGCTGTGCAAAGGTGAACGTCGCTACTTGGGACTAGACCCCGAAGTGGGAGAGGTGGTAGGGCCACTACCGGCTTTGGTCTTGAGCTGTCTCGTGTCTACCAGAATCTCGGGAAGCTTCTGGCGCATGCCTAACAACTTCAACGCATTATCCCACTTTTGCGGTGGAAGTGCTTTAGTGAAGATGTCGGCAGCCTGCAAGTTTGTATCGACATACTCAATGTCTACATCATCCTCATCAATCACCTCAGAGATGGAACCCAGATTGACCTTATGGGTGCGCGCTATGTGCCTAAGCTTTGGCGAATAGCCCTTCTTCGCAACTAGGATCGTAGCCTGGTTGTCCTCATGAATGACTAACCTGATCGGATAGTCGAGGATGGTCTGCCAGAGCTGCAATGCCGGAAGTGCTTCTTGGAAGAGGCTATGAGCTAAAGACACAATCTCGGACTCTGTGGTACTGCGACTCACAGACGTCTGGCGCTTGGACACCCATGCAAGAGGAAAGAAGGTGTTGGGACCTTTTAGGACTAAGAAACCTCCACTGGTGGATTTGGCATCGTCCCTTTCCCCTGCAAAGTCGGCATCAACGTAGAGCGCAAGATGCAGCTCCCTTGGCCCGTCCGATACAGTGCCTACAAGGCGGTGGGTCTTAGTGGAATCGATGTAGCTTATCAGGCGAAGAAGCTTCTTATCATCGTTCCTCGACCACTTTTGCACCTTGGTCGCGAGGTCACCTATCGGCTTGACTAAGTCAGGACGTGCAAGTCTGCCTAGCCAAAGGGCCTTCATCAGCACCTTACATGCGTTAGGAGCCAGCTCCCCAGCAATCTCCTCTTGACTTACTGGAAGTGAAGCCTCAGGAGCGAAAGGTGTGGCAGCATGCTTTAGAGTCTTAAGGCCAGTAAGGCCCTTGTATAGGTCTACTGTCTGCTGTGCGTAATCAAACATATCAAACGCCATGGCACCCTTTAATGCGCCTAGGGCAGCATTCTCGGTGCCTTCGGGCTCGGCGTTGATAGTGCAATGGTTGCGGCCTAAGATCCTATACACAGGCTCCGGGGGTTCTACATCAACAACCTTACATAAAGCATCCCAAAACGGTTGGTGCTCCTCCTGTGGTCCAGAGAGGGTAAGATCATCTACATAAGTGGAAAGAAGGAGCTTAGTCTCAGGAAACCAAAAGTTACCTGGATATTCCGGCAGTTCTTGTCCACCCATATTCCTAAGAACCTCCTTAAGGTGTTTCTCCCACAGTCCGCCCGCTTCTGGGTGGCCGTACAGTGCGCGTAGAAGCAGCACTACTGGTTTTGCAAAACACTCACGCCACCAAGCAGGACGAAGTTCAGGTGGTAGCTCTATCCAAGTTTGGTACTTGGATTTAAGGAGAGCTTGCACATACGCTTTGACGGCGTCTGCGGCACTGGACTGATGGCCAGGTAAGCTACCGTAAGCTAAACAGGCATTAAGTCCCTGAACAGAGGTGGGGTTTGCACCTAACTCTCTGTAAACCGCTGCGGCGCCCTCTTCGTCCTTCGCACAGTCACCCCGGTACACGATTCGGCCTTTAACCTTCTGAAGGTGCTTGGCAAGTTCCCAAAACTTGATGGACGCAATGCTCATCAGCTTGCCGAAGTGTACCTTAGTGCCCGTGCGGCGCGCTTGCGCTTGGACGCTAGCGTATTCCTGCGGGTTCGTTTCGTCCCACACTGGAACTGCGCGAAGACCGTCTGCTTCCTGTTTCACCGCATTGAGGGCCTCAGGTGAGGAGAGCATTTCGGCCCGAGAGAGAAGTTTCGTCACCATTGCAGACACCTCCTTTGAGGGTGCTTCCTTAGGTATGCCATGAACTGCACACATAAGGGCGGAAAGGTCGACGACCTCTTCTACGAGCTTAGAAGCCTCCTGGTCGGACTCTATTACGGCGGCAAGGTCCTCGTATCCGCTGAGAGCGGAAACGTGCTTCAGTTCCTGTTCCTTTTCGCGGTGTTCAGTGGTTGTGGAAGTGGGTAAGATCGGCATCGCAGGAACCGAGATATAGGCCCTACTGGGGTTGATGGCAAAGGCGATGCGCTCACACATCTCTTGCGTGTACAACCCAGTGAGTTCAAGATCCTTTCCCCGAGCCTCGACGTGCTCACTGGGATCATGGTTGCAGGTGATCCCTTCAAAGGCTGATACGATAGATGTGGATGTTGTCATGAGGCGCCATGGTTTCTTAACCGGCTGCCCCCCTGAAGCAGACACACCTAACATACAACCATCAAAGTCAACAACCTTAAACCTAGGATCCTTAAAGAACTCCTTTACATCAGGCCTCTTCCATGAATCGGAATACCTCGGCCACTCAAACGTGACGTCAATCCCGAGGTCAAGCGCGGTCTTAGCATGCTCAGCAAACTGTGCGAACAACTTCTTAGACCTATGAATCTTTTGCAGGAGTCGTGCGCGATACTCGCCACCGCCCCTCTTGAGCTGAACGCGATGCCATTGGCATCCAGAGGTGCAGGGCAGAGACACCCAGAGGTGACTCTTCGGACACGCCCTAAACTGTTCGTGCAGTTGGGCAGCTACAAGCTCGTTCTCAACGTCCAAGGTCTCTTTGGCGAGGCGTACGTGTGGTACTCCAAGCTCCTCGTTTACACGCCCTAACATTGAGTTTTGGGAACATGCATACTCGAAGACAGTCGTGAGCTTAGTAGGCTTCCCTCTCCTTCGACTCCGCTTGTTACCTCTTAGGTGTGCTTTGTCTTCCCCGAAACGTGGTGTGGAGGGGGCAGCTAAACCGAAAACAGGTAGGTCTTCCTTTCCGCGTACAGTGTCCAAAAGACACGTGGCACTGGCAGTGCACGGTGGCAAGGCAGCGCCTGCTGAAACAACGCTCACGGTAGCAGAGGCAGGAGGTACCGGAGTGCTTGGTGCTACGCTTGGAGCTGGGGTTTCTGGAGCAGCGCTTGGAAAGGGAGTCTCTGGTGCAACACTTGGTGCGGGAGTCTCGGGTGACTCACCTAGGGCGCGAAGCGCAGCCCTCCTTGCGGCAGCTTCTTCCTTGTCTGCTTTAACAAGCTCGGCAAAGCGTGCTCTGCAAGTGTCGGTGTGCTTTGTGGCCTTACCTCTACACGCTAAGCAACCCGGCGTTTCCCCGAACTTAACAATCCTATCAGCGGTGATATAAACCGTCCTAACGCCAGGTGTTCTGGGCGCCGGCGGCCCGATGCTTTCAAGAGCAAAGGGAATCTCCCGCAATGGGATCTCGGGCAGTGCGCCAGAGGCAGCACTCAAAGTGGAGCCGTCGACTAGCGCCTTACGGGTAGCGTTTGCAACAGGGAAGATGGGCGGACCGTCTTCGATGTACAGCTCAGGTTCTGGGACATCATGAACAGATGTGTTGCGTTTGCCGCGAAAGTCATTGTAATCAAGAACCTTAACAACATTGCGATAGCGCATACCAGCGTCTATCCGCCACCCTAGGAAAAGCCCTGGTGACATGTTGGGTTCAAGAGTACGCTTAGAACCTTTAGAGCGGTACCAGACCAGTTGCCCAAAACAGGCCCTCTTCCCATTGAAGGGCTCCTTTGTGAGGGCCTCCCACTGTGTGACCCCCCCTATCGGTGCACTCCTGTCGAAGGACAAGGAAAGGCACGCGTAAGGGTACGAGTAAGAATGCATGTCGTATGGCAAACCACTCTGTAAGTGGATAGCTCGGCAGCACTCTTTCTCCTCGCGGATATCCCTCTCCAGCAAGGCGTTGTGAGGCCATCTGTTGGGAAGAGAGGGTTCCGGGGTCAAGCCTACCTCCTCCGCCGCTACTATCAACTCACCTGCTTCATCTAATTTAATGAGACAGGTTGGCGACAGCTCGTGCGCCCTAAGACCTATAAAGTGCCGAAAGTTACGTGCGTGCTGGGCAGCACCCCTACGAGTCATAGGGTACGCAACTCTAGCCCCTGAGAAAACATCCCTTACAACATGATGTGACTTCACTCCGCCGGTTCCTATGCCTCGGTGTTCGTCACCTTTGGCCATGATGACATCATCAGTGGCGAGCTGTTGAAACGGTGCAGTGGGAACATCAATCATGTCATCTGCCTTGGCATCGGGCTTGTGAGCCACACGCATTGAGGTGGTCTTGGCGATGTGACAGATCTTGCAAAAGGGATTCTTAGGAAAGTGGGTCCTAAGGTGTTTCTCAGACGTGGCTTCGGCTCTAAGTTCTTCGGTCTTGGAGTGAGGCTCTGGAGGAGGTGGCACCAGCGGTAGTTGCTCTGTGGAAGGGGCGCTTGGAGCAGCCCCCTCACGCGAACTAGAGGCGCCTGAGGCAGCCTCCTTGGCTGTTGTGCCTTCGGCGGGCTGCTGCGTACCTGCGGGCTTTCCCTTGAAGAGTTCAGGAAAGAGTTCTTCTTCGGAGCTCTCACTGGCAG